GCAAGTGTAAAGTTTCAAGTAAATATCTTTGAAGACCTTTAACCTTTAACCAAAATTTCTAAGTTTCAAAGGGGCAAATAATTCTGCAAATATTGCAGGCAGAGTTATGCAATTTTGCAAACTGATGTACATTGTTACTATAAAAAAGTATTTTAAATTTCAATTGAATATCTCAAGCAATAATTGAGATATTTGACTTTACAAAAAACTTTAACCAAAATTTCTAAAATAAAAAAGAGGCATAATTCTGTCAATATTGTAGGCAGAGTTATCCAACTTGTGAATCTGATGTACCTTGTTACTATAAATAAGTATTGCAAGTTTCAATTGAATATCTCAAGCAATAATTGAGATATTTGACTTTACAAAAAACTTTAACCAAAATTTCTAAAATAAAAAGGGGCATAATTCTGTCAATATTGTAGGCAGAGTTATCCAACTTGTGAATCTGATGTACCTTGTTACTATAAATAAGTATTGTAAGTTTCAATTGAATATCTCAAGCAATATTGAGATATTTGACTTTACAAAAAACTTTAACCAAAATTTCTAAGTTAAAAAGGGGCATAATTCTGTCAATATTGTAGGCAGAGTTATCCAACTTGTGAATCTGATGTACCTTGTTACTATAAATAAGTATTGTAAGTTTCAATTGAATATCTCAAGCAATAATTGAGATATTTGACTTTACAAAAAACTTTAACCAACGCAGACGCCGACGCGGACGCTGACGCCGAGGCGACTACAATAGCTCTCATATTCTTCGAATAGTCGAGCTAACAAAAGCTGTCACCCAAGTGACGAATGCCCTCAAAAAAGGTTTCTCAAGCATGCAGGTATAATGAAAAGAAAAGAGAATGAAAGTAACTAATTGCTCAATATTGACCTTTGTATTAGTGTACCTGTAATGTCTAACAAAAATGAAAATAGAAACACTGCAATGTACCTGTTCTACGCATTAGATAAAAGACAAAGTTACTTAGATATTTTTTCAATGAATACTGAAATACTGTTATTTTTGTATGTAATCATGTCTGTATCACTCACTGTCTATGTACTTATATCATATATATGTTGTAAATGTTTATGGGCGGGAGGCCTAAAGACTTTTCAATAAAATGTTGAAAATCTTGAATTCTCTAATTGTGATAGCGTGAACCTTCAAAAAAATATAAGTGTGACCTTGACCTTTGAAAAAGGCAAGTGGTTCCTGGACGCGACACATTGTCTTGATGTGGTAGACATTTGTGCCAAGTTACTTTAAAATCCTTCCATGCATGACAAAGTTACAGTCCGGACATGAATATGTATCTTCAAACTCTTCTTGAGAGAATGAGTACCTTCAAACTAAAAGTGTGACCTTGACCTTGAAGGAAGGGACATGGGTTTTAGTCGCCACATGTCGTCTTGATGTGGTAGACATTTATTCTTAGTTATATTGGAATGTGCCAGTGATGTCCACAACTAGGGATGGTACTGATCACTCCTGTAATTTAGTTTGGTTGAAATCCCATTAGTGGTTTGACCTGTGAAGGCCGGACAAGATCTTCCTATTTTTAGCTCTGGCGGCTATTTTGTGCAGCGAAGTGAAACGTGCCAGTGATGTGCACAACTAGGGTCGGTACTGATCACTCCTGTAAAGGTTGGTTGAAATCCAGTAGTTTGACCTGTGAAGGTCGGACAAGATTTTTCTATTTTTAGCGCTGGCTGCCATTTTGTACAGCAAAGCAGAACGTGCTGGTGATGTGCACAACTAGGGATGGTGCTGATCACTTCTGTAAAGTTTGGTTGAAATTCCACCAGCAGTTTGACCTGTGAAGAGCGGACAAGCTTAATGCAGGCGGATGGACAGGGGCCATTTCTAAATCTAATTTTAAATCATATTCTTGTTAATGTATTATCTTATCAACAGTATAATACAAACTTGGGTTAAAAAAACATGTTTTGTCACATAATAATTAATAGCAATGGTAGAGTTATATAAAACAAACAAAATTCAAAAGATAAATAGTAAAACATCAAAACTATTTACAGTAAATTTCAAAACTATTTACTTCATTTTTTATAATAAATTCTATCAAAAACAAAAGTAACAAAAACAGTCATAATAAATGACATCTGAATAATAATAATAACAATAATAAAGTAACATATTATAATTTACTAGCTATAAACTGCTAAAATATTTTAGATACTCAGATTCTAAATGGGAGTATCTCCTGAAGCAAAAAAATTAAAAAACATGATATTTTTTCCCTAATGTTTAATCACCTATGTTTTTACTGTTTAGTCTAAAAATGACATCTAGGATATATTGCATCTAAGACCATGGTTAATTCAAGAAAGATTTTGCACATTGCATGTTTTCATGGAATATGTATACAGCATGTTATATATATCATTTGGAGTGTTTACATTTTGAGAAAAATGCAATTCCTCATATACTCATAACAAGATCTGCCCATGTAGTATTCACATTTTTGTTCTTATAATATTACATTGTAATTAAGGTGGTAGCTAAAATAACATGAAAGATATATTGTCAACTTTAAGGCCGATTGCTGCCTAGCTGGAAATGTCAATGTCCTCTTTGGGTGACCCTGACAAACACATTCAATACAAGAGTTTAGGATATTTTAGCTAAATAAGCATATAAATCTGTTACTGTTACATAATATATACTAACAATGAATATTTATATAAGCAGATTTTAAACAAGGATCTCTGGTTTTGATACATATCATTGATGTTTTATCCCAAGTAGTGATAAATAAATGTATACTGATGGTTATGTCTTGAGTGGAAATAAAATTCTTGTTGTTTTGGTCGACAAAAAAAATCTTTATTTAATAATACATAAGGATGAATTGGTCAAGCAACATTTTATATTTCATTAGGGGTGTCAAGGTTAGCAAAAATGATAAACATTTGAAAGACCTCCTAATCACCGTGTTAAACATCATAACGACTAGTAATATAATTTTTAGATTTTCAATATTAACTTTTTTTAGATTTTCAATATTAACTTTGTTTCTTTAATGACAAGATACAACATTTTGTTTTTATTTTGGTCTCAACAATGATTACAAAAGAAGTCCGATTATAAAGTGACAACTTTCCGTTAGGACAGGTAACCGTACTCTATCAAATAGCAATCTGAGAAAACAACTGAAATACAAATCAAATGTCATATCTTGTTATTAAAAACTTAGGTAATGTTTAGAATTTTAATTTTTTTTTTAAATCGGCACTTTGTCTTATACTTACTACGATTACCTAATTGTTTGTTTCATTTTACGCCTTTTCCCCAACAGTATTTCAGTCATATAGGCGGACGATTACCTGTTTGTTTGTTTGTTTGTTTCATTTTACGCCTTTTCTCAACAGTATTTCAGTCATATAGGCGGGTAGTTTCCTAACCATCGTTCCTGGAGAGTTACACCAGTACTAGACTACCTTCCTCCGTGCTAAACTACCAAAGCATCTCCCAGGGATCAAACCCACGCCAGAGAGGTAACTGGATTAGAAGTCATCGACTCTAACCCCTCAACCATAGAGGCGGTGCACTTCAGTTACCAGTTATAGTTTTCTTACAGTGTTTACATAAAAAATAAATAATCTCATCATGCCACGGATGCCCCCGCATGCAGCCAAAATTTCAGATGGTGCAATAATTATTTTTTTCATTTTAAGTTCAAAGCCCTTAAAACTTTTCAATGTTAACACAAACCATTTCCATACAATGTTCAAGGCACTGAAATTATTCAGTCTTAACCTTTTAGAAATAGCATATTGCATATTTGTAGCCAAAATAATGGCTAAAAGAATGAGTGGTGAAACTGAAAGTTCAAAATTTTTCCAACATTCAGGAAAGATAAGTTTGTCTAAAATCATTGAACCATGACCAAATTCCAACTTAAACTGCTTATTCCTAAGATGTATCTATATTATTTTCAAAGTGAAAGGGACATAACTCTGCCAAAAAATCATCAAACCATGACCAAATTCCAACTTGACCTGCCCATTCCTTTGACATATCCATATGTCAAATTAAAGTTGAATATGTGACACTGTTGGGTAGATAATGAACAGAAACTGTAAATTTCATATTATTTTCAAAGTGAAAGGGGCATTAGTCTGCCAAAAATCATTAAACCATGACCAAATATGAACTTGACCTGCGCATTCCAAAATCATATCCATGTGTCAAATTTGAGTTGAATGTGTTGTACCATTGGGGAGATAATAAACGGAAACTGAAAATTTCATATTACTTTCAAAGTGAAAGGGGCATAACTCTGCCAAAAATCATTAAACCATGACCAAATATGAACTTGACCTGCGCATTCCTTTGACGCATCCATATGTCACGTTTGAGTTGAATGTGTTGTACCTTAAGGGAGATAATGAACGGAAACTGAAAATTTCATATTATTTTCAAAGTAAAAGGGGCATAACTCTGCCAAAAATCATCGAACCATGACCAAATTCGAGCTTGACCTGTATTTTTTCATGACATATCAATATGTCAAGTTTGAGTTGATTGTGTTGTACCATTGGGGAGATAATGAACGGAAACTGAAAATTTCATATTTTTTCAAAGTAAAAGGGGCATAACTCTGCCAAAAATCATCGAACCATAACCAAATTCGAACTTGACCTGTATTTTCCCATGACATATCCATATGTCAAGTTTGAATTGAATGTGTCCAACCGTTCTTAAGATAATGAACGGAAACTGAAATTTCATATTTTTTCAAAGTAAAAGGGGCATAACTCTGCCAAAAATCATCGAACCATGACCAAATTCGAACTTGACTTGTATTTTCTCATGACATATCCATAAGTGAAATTTGAGTTGAATATGTCCAACCGTTCTTAAGATAATGAATGGAAACTGATGATGACGGAATGACAGAATGACGGAAGGACGGAAGGATGGAAGGACCGAAGGACGGAAGGACGGAATGACGGAACAGGGTAACACTATATGCCCAGGCCATTACATGGCGGGGGCATAAAAATTGGATAAATGTGACACCCCTATATTTCATTATTCTTACTACCTTCAAAGAACTAACTGTATCATAATAATTCTATAATATGTGGATATTAAATGAACTGGTATTAATTGGAAAATGAATGTTCTTCAGTAAAAACAGTTTATTAAATCTATAAAAGCTTCTAACAATAGCCCTACGAGCAGTGTTATCTTTCTTCTGTTGAAATAATCACTTTTCACAAAAAATAATCATTAGGGGCATTACTCCAAAAATACAGCTTTCAGAATTATGCCCCTTGTCTAACAACTACACATTGTCAAGATAAACAAGTACTCCAAGATTCATGTTAATAACTTTTAAAATGTTTGAATAATGGGCTACATTGGTTTTTGCATGACAATAATGCAGCAATCATTATTGCTTGACTTTTTTTCAAAACAGACAAACTGAAAATGAACATGTCCAAGTGGCCTTGACCTAGTGATCTTGACCTGTGACCCTGTGACCATTAAGGGTGTCATGCAGGAAGATTCTAGCCACCTATGTAGGTGAAAGGATTTCTGTGTTATGGTCAAGACAAACACAAAGATCACAACAATATGCTTTCCCAATCTGGAGGCATAAAACAGGAAACAGTGAAGTAAAATACTTATTTATGACAAAGAGTTGTTCTAACATTTCTAACACAAAACAGGTATGAGGTAGCAATCACTGCATTAATGCCAAATAAATTAAAAACCAAGGAAAAAATTATATCACAATGATTTATGTCAATGTATTTTAACGTGAGCTTAAGTAAATATTGGTCTCTGTTTATAACAACTGGTTACAAAATATACTAGTCAATAATTTTCCTCAGTAATATTATTGTAATATTCAATGTAATATAGAATTGGCATGTAATCAAAATTTATTAATACAGTTGTATATAATCATCATGTGACCAATATAAGTTAACAGCCAAGAACCAAAAAAGTCCAAAATCATAACCCCTAGCAGAACACAAGAATGTGCAAAAGCTGATCAGTTATGACTTCACATTTCATGTTATCAAAACAAGGTAGCTGGAAGCAGAAAATCGGAGGATTAATACAGAACTACAAATAGCTTTCTCTGCCTATAATTAATATCAGGTAACTCTTCATTTTAATGGTATTATGGAAAGTACCATAAACATTCTATTTCAGATGGAGAAATTACATTTTGTTTTCCATTTCCATCAAATCATTTGGGTGAATTTCTGTTGGGTCATACTTTGGTTTGGGTCCATTCAATCCCCAATCATATTCGTTATACTTAATGTCAATTGGTTTGATTTTGTCTAATTTGAACAAGAGTATTTCTGCACGTTCCTGCACTTTTTTGTCGAGGTATGGCACTATCCACCTGCAATGTATAAAAATGTTTTAGTTACACCAATAACAAAATAACATGCCTGCAATCTCATCATTACATACTTAATGACCAAGAATGTCTATAACTTTGTCCACAGTAATTGTAACTAGAAATGTGTCCATAGGACACTGAGGTGCCCCAACATTCCACTGCTTTGTCAATATTATGACTCTAGGTCAAATATATTTTGGGGTACATGTTGAAAACTAAAAATCTTTTACAAAGTAAAGGGCAAGAACTTTTCAAATACTGAATAAATCCACAAGCGAACCCCAAGATGCAAAAGTACACATGCTGACCAAAATTCTTGTAAACTTTCAGGCCTACAAGTAAAATACTTTTAGAGCTATGCATGAACAGGTTGAAAATTGCAAATGTATACAAAGTTAAGGGCGATAACTCTGACAAAACAGAATAAATCCACAAGCAAAACCCCTAGGTGCACAACTTTAAATGTTGACCTACATTCCTGTTAAGTTTCAATGACTCTAGGTTAAATATATTTTCAGCTATGCACAACACAAATTGAAAATTGCAAATTTTCAGTAAGGCAAGGGTAATAACTCAGACAAAACAGAATAAATCCACAAGCAAAACCCCTAGGTGCACAACTTTAAATGTTGACCTACATTCCTGTTAAGTTTCAATGACTCTAGGTTAAATATATTTTCAACTATGCACAACACAAATTGAAAATTGCAAATTTTCAGTAAGGCAAGGGTAATAACTCAGACAAAACAGTATAAATCCACAAGCAAAACCCCAAAAGCACAACTTCACATGCTGAGCAACATTCCTGTAAAGTTTCATGACTCTAGGTCGAAATACTTTTTGAGCTAAATGCGACACAAGTTGAAAATTGTGAAATTTTAAGTCAAGGGCAATAACTCAAAAGTACTAAAAAATCCACATAAAAATACCCACATGCACAACTACAGATACTGATCAACATTCCTGTAAAGTTTCATGATTCTAGGTCAAATACTTTATGAGCTACATGTGACACAAAATGAGGACAGACAGATGGACGGACAAGGGCTAATCTAATGCCCCCCCCCCCCCCCCCAAAGTGGGGGCACAAAAATAGATGAGGACTTTTCTTATTACTGAGCCTTAATTCAAGTTGTACAGGCCTTCAAGACAATGATATATATAACAAGAGGGCCATGATGGCCCTAGATCGCTCATCTGACCCATCAAACTCAACCAAATAATAACCTAGACAAGCATTCTGACCAAGTTTCATGACAGGTGAGTCAAAAATGTGACCACTAGAGTGTTAACAAGGATTATCCATATTTGAGCAGTGTGACGTAGTTTTTAAGCCGAGGTGACCCATATTCAAACTTGACCTAGAAATCATAAAAACAAACTTTCAGACCAATTTCAAGGATACTTGGATCAAAACAGTAGCCACTAGAGTGTTAACAAGATTTTTCTATTTTTAGCTCCTGTGACCTAATTTTTTATATCTGAGATGACCCATGTTTGAACTTATCCCAGCAATTACCTAGACAAGCATCCTGACCAAGTTTGATAATAATTGAGTCAAAAATGTGACCACTAGAGTGTTAAGGTTTTTCCATATTTGGGCGGTGTGACCTAGTTTTTGACCTCACTGACCCATATTAAACCTTGACCTAGAAATCATAAAAACAAACGTTCAGAACAATTTCCAGAATAGTTGGATCAAAACAGTAGCCACTAGAATGTTAACAAGATTTTTCTTTTTTTAGCAGCTCCTGTGACCTATTTTTTCATCTGAATTGACCCATGTTTGAACTCATTCGAGCAATTACCTAGACAAGCATCCTGACTAAGTTTGATGATGATCGAGTCAAAAATGTGACCACTTGAGTGTTAACAAGGTTTTTCTATTTTTAGCTCCTGTGACCTAAATTTTCATCCGAGATGACCCATGATGATGACGCTATTACCTCGACACTAAGCATCCTGACAAAGTTTGATGATGATCGAGTCAACAAGAGCCACCGCCGGGCGGGGGCAACGCTCGACTTTTTACTTTTTCTAAACGCAAACATAGAAAGGTTTGAACATATCTTCACGTTTCCTTTTTATAAATTTAGTTGGTCTGTCTTGTCACATTAGTTTTGTTTATATATTTTGTATATGAATATGAATAGAAACATTACGCAATTTCTAAAAATAGCAACATGACGCAATTTCTAAAAAAAGCAACAATGACGCAATTTCTAACAAGAGCACCGCTAGGCGGAGCATTATATGCCGGAAAGTGTTTTGTTTTTTTTTTCAGTAAAGATGAAGCATTTGTAAGACATGGGACTAAAATAAAGTATTACCTCCTTCAAATAACAATCCTCCTTTGAAGTTTCAATATTGTGGTCCAAATGGAACTTTAAGTTCTGCCCCAGAAACTCTTTTCAATTCTAAGGTAAAAGTGACCTTGACCTTTGACCTTGTGACCCCAAAATCATTAGGGGTCTTTTACCCAATATGGACAATCATACTATGAAGCTTATACACAGTAGGCCAAATGATACTTAAGTTATATTCCGAAAACTGTTTTCAGTTTTAAGGTAATAGTGACCTTGACCTTGTGACCCCAAAATCAATAGGGGTCATCTACCCAATATGGACAATCATCCTATGAAGTTTGAATATTGTGGGCTAAATGGAACTAAAGTCATGCTCAAGAAACTGTTTTCAATTTCTAAGTAATAGTGACCTTGACCTTTGACCTTGTGACCCCAAAATCAATAGGGGTCTTCTACCCAATATGGACAATCATCCTATGAAGTTTGAACACTGTGGGCCAAATAGAACTTAAGTTATGCTCCGGAAACTGTTTTCAGTTCTAAGGTAATAGTGACCTTGACCTTTGACCTTGTGACCCCAAAATCAATAGGGGTCTTCTACCCAATATGGACAATCCTCCTATGAAGTTTGAACACTGTGGGCCAAATGGAACTAAAGTTATGCTCCGGAAACTGTTTTCAGTTTTAAGGTCATAGTGACCTTGACCTTTGACCTGTGACCCCAAAATATATCAGGGTCTTCTACCAAATAAGGACAATCATCCTATGAAGTTTGAACACTGTAGGACAAATGGAACTTAAGTTATGCTCCGGAAACTGTTTTCAGTTTTAAGGTCATAGTGACCTTGACCTATTGACCTTGTGACCCCAAAATCAATAGGGGTCTTTTACCCAATATGGACAATCATTCTATGAAGTTTGAACACTGTAGGCCAAATGGAACTTTAGTTATGCTCCGGAAACCAAATTGCTAACCTTTTCAGTTTTAAGGTCATAGTGACCTTGACCTTTGACCTTATGACCCCAAAATCAATAGGGGTCTTCTACCCAATATGGACAATCATCCTATGAAGTTTGAATATTATGGGCCAAATGGAACTTAAGTTATACTCCGGAAACCAAATTGCTAACGGACGGACGGACAGACGGACGGACGGACAGACGGACGCCAGGGGGTATAACTTAATATGTCCGAAATTCTTTCGGGCATATAAAAAAATAGAAACAATGACGCAATTTCTAAAAATAAAACAATGACGCAATTTCTAAAAATAGCAACAATGACGCAATTTCTAAAAATAGCAACAATGACGCAATTTCTAAAAATAGAAACTATGATGCAATTTCTAAAAATAGCAACAATGACGCAATTTCTAAAAATAGCAACAATGACGCAATTTCTAAAAATAGCAACTATGACCTAATTTCTAAAAATAGCAACAATGATGCAATTTCTAAAAATAGAAACTATTACGCATTTTCAAAAAAGCAACAATGACGCAATTTCAAAAAAGCAACAATGACGCAATTTCTAAAAATAGCAACAATGACGCAATTTCTAAAAATAGAAACAATGACACAATTTCTAAAAATAGCAACAATGACGCAATTTCTAAAAATAGAAACAATGACGCAATTTCTAAAAATAGAAACTATGACGCAATTTCTAAAAATAGCAACAATGACGCAATTTCTAAAAATAGCAACTATGATGCAATTTCTAAAAATAGAAACTATGACCAATTTAAAAAAAGCAACAATGACGCAATTTCTAAAAGTAGCAGCAATGACGCAATTTCTAAAAATAGCAACAATGACGCAATTTCTAAAAATAGAAACTATGACGCAATTTCTAAAAATAGAAACAATGACGCAATTTCTAAAAATAGAAACAATGACACAATTTCTAAAAATAGCAACAATGACGCAATTTCTAAAAATAAGCAATTTCTAAAAATAGAAACTATGACGCAATTTCTAAAAATAGCAACAATGATGCAATTTCTGAAAATAGAAACTATGACGCAATTTCTAAAAATAGAAACAATGATGCAATTTCTAAAAATAGAAACAATGACGCAATTCTGTTATTGTTGTTGTTGTAAATATATTCATATACACACACACACCCCAATAAATATATAATTATGGTCATTTAATGCACAAATCTGAGAAAATTCAGTAATTTAACCTTCAAGGTCAAGGTCATTAAAGAGCCCAAGCAAATTTGGGTTTGATAAACAACGAGGTCTGGTCCTTAAGAATGTTCTGTTATAATATGAAGTTGATCCCTTCAATAATAGCAAAGTTACAGTCAGTTACCGCCAAAACAATGAAAATTTCAATAATTTGACCTTCAAAGACAATGTCATTAATGAGTGAAGGTCAAGGTCTTTCGGTATATTTTTAACAGTTATCGTTGAAGATTATTATGTTCAAATTTCAAGACAATCCATTCAAAAATAACAAAGTTACAGCCAATAATAGCCAAAAAAATGAAAATTTCAATAATTTGACCTTCAAAGTCAAGGTCATTTATGAGTGAAGGTCAAGGTCTGTCTAGTTATTTTTAAGGGATATCCCTGAAGATAATTATGTTCAAGTTTGAAGACAATCCATTCAAAAATAACAAAGTTACAGCCAATAATAGCCAAAAAAATGAAAATTTCAATAATTTGACCTTCAAAGTCAAGGTCATTTATGAGTGAAGGTCAAGGTCTGGCAGGTTATTTTTAAGGGATATCCTTGAAGATTATTATGTTCAAGTTTGAAGACAATCCATTCAAAAATAACAAAGTTACAGCCAATAACAGCATGAACAAGCAAAAATTGGACTTTCAACCTTGAAGGTCAAGGTCATTTATGGATGAAAGTCAAGGTTAGTGGGGTCTACTGAAAGGTCTTGTCCCAAGGGTTGTTGTGGCCAAGTATGAAGACAATACACCAAGAAATAAACAAGAGGGCCATGATGGCCCTAGATCGCTCACCTGAATTATCAAACTCATCCAAACAATTACCTAGACAAGCATTCTGACCAAGTCTCATGACAGGTGAGTCAAAAATGTGACCACTACAGTGTTAACAAGGATTATCCATATTTGAGCAGTGCGACCTAGTTTTTTACCCAGGTGACACATATTCAAACTTGACCTAGAAATCATCAAAACAAACTTTCAGACCAATTTCCAGGATACTTGGATCAAAACAGTAGCAACTAGAGTGTTAACAAGATTTTTCTATTTTTAGCTCCGGTGACCTAGTTTCACATGCGATTTCGAACTCATCCAAGCAATTACCTAGACAAACATCCTGACCAAGTTTGATGATAATTGAGTCGAAAATGTGACCACTAGAATGTTAACAAGGTTTTTCCATATTTGGGCGGTGTGACCTAGTTTTTCATCCAAGATGACCCATGTTCGATCTTGACTTAGAAATCATCAAAACAAACTTTCAGACCAATTAACAGAATATTTGGATCACAACAGTAGCCACTAGAGTGTTAACAAGATTTTTTCTATTTTTAGCTCCTGTGACCTAGTTTTTCATCCGAAATGTCCCATGTTGGATTTATTCCCAGCAATGACCTAGACAAGTTTCCTGACCAAGTTTGATGACAATTGAGTCAAAATTGTGACCACTAGAGTGTTAACAAGGTTTTTCTATTTTTAGCTCCTGTGACCTAGTTTTTCATCCGAGATGACCCATGTTCGAACTCATCCGAGCTATCACCTAGACAAGCATCTTGATCAAGTTTGATGATGATTGATGCAAAAATGTGACCGCTAAAGTGTTAACAAGGTTTTTCTATTTTTAGCTCTGGTGACCTACTTTTTCATCCGAGATGACCCATGTTCGAACTCATCCAAGCTATCAACTAGATAAGCATCCTGACCAAGTTTGATGATGATTGATGCAAAAATGTGACCACTAGAGTGTTCACAAGGTTTTTCTATTTATAGCTCCGGTGACCTAGTTTTTCATCCGAGATGACCCATATTCGAACTCATCCGAGCTATTATCTAAACAAGCATCCTGACAAAGTTTGATGATGATTGGGTCAAAAATGTGACCACTAGAGTGTTCACAAGGTTTTTCTATTTTTAGCTCCTGTGACCTAGTTTTTCATCAGAGATGACCCATGTTCGAACTCATCCAAGCAATTGACTAGACAAGCATTCTGACCAAGTTTGATGATGATTGGTTCAAAAATGTGACCACTAGAGTGTTCACAAGGTTTTTCTATTTATAGCTCCTGTGACCTACTTTTTCATCCGAGATGACCCATGTTCGAACTCATCCAAGCTATCACCTAGACAAACATCCTGACCAAGTTTGATGATGATTGGGTCAAAAATGTGACCTCTAGAGTGTTCACAAGGTTTTTCTATTTTTAGCTCTTGTGACCTAGTTTTTCATCAGAGATGACCCATGTTCGAACTCATCCGAGCTTTCAACTAGATAAGCATCCTGACCAAGTTTGATGATGATTGAGGCAAAAATGCGACCGCTAGAGTGTTCACAAGCAATTGTGGACGGCCGGACGGACGACGGAGGACAGACATTCACCGATCCTAAAAGCTCACCCTGAGCAAGCTCAGGTGAGCTAAAAAGTTATGATCCAGGTACAAGTTTGCGGACGGCAACGGCAACGCCGACCTGACTATAACAATACCTCTACTTTTTTTTTCAAAAAAAAAAAAGTTGAGCTAAAAATGTGACCGCTAGAGTGTTAACAAGGTTTTTCTACTTTAAGCTCCTGTGACCTAAATTTTCATCTGAGATGACCCATGTTTGAACTCATCCAAGCTTTTACCTAGACACTAAGCATCCTGACCAAGTTTGATGATGATTGAAGCAAAAATGTGATCCCTAGAGTGTGAACAAAGTTTTTCTAGTTTTAGCTCCTGTGACTTAGTTTTTAATCCAAGATGACCCATGTTCGAACTCATCCGAGCTATTACCTAGATAAGCATCCTGACCAAGTTTGATAATGATTGAGTCAAAAATGTGACCGCTAGAGTGTTAAGAAGGCTTTTCCATTTTTAGCTCATGTTACCTAATTTTTCATCTGAGATGACCCATGTTTGAACTCATCCGAGCTATTACCTAGATAAACATCCTGACCAAGTTTGATAATGATTGAGTCAAAAATGTAACCCCTAGAGTGTTAAGAAGGTTTCTCCATTTTTAGCTCATGTGACCTAGTTTTTCATCTGAGATGACCCATGATCGAACTCATCAGATGAGAAATCCCGACAAAGTTTAATGATGACTGAGTAAAAAGTGTGACCGCTAGAGTGTTAAAAAGGTTTTTCTTTTTTTAGCTCCTGTGACCTAGTTTTTCATCTGAGATGACCCATGTTCCAACTGATCCGAGCTATTATCTAGATAAGCATCCTGACCAAGTTTGATGATGATTGAGGCAAAAATGTGACCTTTAGAGTGTTAACATGGTTTTTCTATTTTTAGCTCCTGTTACCTAGTTTTTCATCCGAGATGATCCATGTTTGAACTCATCCGAGCTATCAACTAGATAAGCATCCTGACAAAGTTTGGTGATGATTGAGGCAAAAATGTGACTGTTAAAGTGTTAACAAACAAGTGTGGACAGACAACGGACATTCAACGATCCTAAAAGTTCACGGATATATGGAACTTCCGATTACCCTCATTGATGCCTAAACAGGGGGTGAAGCGTCATCGATAATTGACAGGTTACGCTCATAGCAGATGAAAATTGTATAGGTACCATTTTAAAACGTTTAAAAACATAGTTTCTTGCCTAACTACTTCCAAAATTAAATCACGAATGTGTTCAGAAAAGATTGATATATATATACTAAGCTAAAAATCTCATTTTTGGTATTTTTAGTGATAATTGACTATGTTGTCACCTTAAACTAATATAACAAAGTTCATATTTTAATCTGAAATAGTGCATGTGTAAAAACATTACTGGTTGCTATTGCTAAGGGAAAACAACAGTTCCAAAAGATTGTACATATAAAGATGAACAAACTTGGTCGACACTCACTAGAAGATGTTTAATGCTAAATATCTAAGCGCTATCTATTTGGATTTTTCAAAAGAAGACTTCTAAGTTTTTACAACATATACATATTATGAATCTGTGCCAATGTTAGCCATTGTCTGATTGCAGGATGACCTACTCACTTGATGACATCCAGGTCTGTGTTACCAAAGTCTTGAGAATACCATTGAAAAATTCTTGACAACCAGATTTCATCTACCTCAGTGAACATGGACACTTCCTGTGCACAGAAACTACGGGTAGCTCCATCTAGTGCTTTATCTATATTTCCGCCAGAATAAACATTTATTGCTGGACAAGACTGAAAAAGAAATTGACAAGTTAAAATGGATTCCTGCGGGGGAAATTTTTTAATAATTTACAGATATTTCATGTAACTCTTTTCTAATTTGTTTGAAAACAAAACAACGGAAAAAAATAAACAAGAACCGGTTGAACCAGGTGATGCTCCCCGAGAAAGTTTTGGACACAAGAAAGTATAAAACAAGAGGGCCGACATTGCACACCTGTATATAGGCCCTTGGGGCGAGGCTAATTTTAACCCAGGGGCTTTTTTTTTTTAACCAACTTGGTAGACACCGGCATTAGAAGATGATTTATGATAAATATCTAAGCTGTAGCTCTTTTAGGTTTTTAAAAGAAGATCTTTCAAGTTTTTACTATAGACATATAAGGAAAATCAGACCCCCGGGGCTTTTATTTGAACAAATTTGGTAGACACTCATTAAAAGATGTTTCATGCTTAAGATATGGGTTATTTAAAAGAAGATTTTTGATGTTTTTACTACAGACATATATGGAAAATCAGTACCCCTGGGGGTCAATTTTGATCCCAGGGTTTTTATTTGAACAAACTTGATAGACATTCACTAGAAGATGTTACATGCCAAATGTTTAAGCTCTAGCTCTTTCGTGTTTTTAAAGAAGATTTTTTAAGTTTTTACTATATACATATAAGGAAAATCAATGACCCCTACTTGGGCTGGGCCAATTTTGACCCCAGGGTTTTTATTTTAACAAACTTGGTAGACACTCATCAGACAATGTTTCATGCCAAATATTAAAGCTCTAGCTCTTTCAGGTTTTTTAAAAGAAGATTTTTTAAGTTTTTACTATATACATATAAGGAAAAGCAATGACCCCCCGGGGCATGGCCAATTTTCACCCAAGGGCTTTTATTTTAACAAACTTGATAGACACTCACTAGCAGATATTTCATGCCAATATCTAAGCTCTACCTCTTTTGGTTTTTTGAAAGAAGATTTTTTAAGTTTTTTCTTTTGGCAACCAGAGGTCTGCATGGAATTAAATTCTTTGAACAATTTTTAAGATGACCACCAAAGGACCATTCCTGTGAAGTTTGGATGAACTGGCTAAGCAGTTTATGAGGAGATGTCGTTTGAAGTAAAAGTTTAAGGATGCTGGAGGGAAGACAGATGGACCGGGGACGAAAAGTGATCCCAAAAGCTCACCATGTCACTTTGTGTCATGAACAAAGGGCAAAAACTCCAAAATTAGACAAGGCAGATTTATGTTTTTTTTGCACTGCACTTCTATTCAATTAGATCTATCTATCTATAAAGTTTCGTGATGATATCTCTTATAGTTTCAGAGTTATGTCCCGGGTAAAATTCAAAATGTAGAAATGAACCAAGAGCAATAACTCTAAAATTAGACAAGGCTGTGTTTAAATTCTTTAGCATTGCAGTTCTATCCAATGAGATCCATCTACCTACAAAGTTTCATGTTGATATCTCTAATAATTTAAGAACTATGTCCCGGACAAAAGTCAAAAAGTAAAAATAAACAAAGGGCAATAACTTCAAAATGAGGCAAGGCAGAGTTATGGTTCTTTAGCACACTGCATTTCTACCCAACGAGACTTATCTACCTACAAAGTTTCATGTTGATATCTCTTATAATTTTAGAGTAATGTCCCGGACAAAGTTCAAAGTGTCAAAATGAACAAAGGGCAATTACTCCAAAATTAGGCAAGACAGAGTTATGGTTCTTCAACAATGCACTTTTAATCAATGAGATCTATCTACCTACAAAGTTTCATGTTGATATCTCTAATAATTTAAGAGTTATGTCCCATTCAAAGTGTAAAATAAACAAAGGGCAATAATTCAAAAATTAGGCAAGGCAGAGTTACAGTTCTTGTGCACAGCACACCTACTTAATGAGATCTATCTATCTACAAAGTTTCATGTTGATACCTCTTGTTGTTTCAAAGTTATCTCCCAGACAAGAAAAGCGGACGGATGGACATACATACGAAATGGTACTTATGTGACTTTTCCTTTGATCTTTTAAACCGATTTTAGTCACACAAGACTTTAAAAAAGACACACAAGCAAAAACAGAATGAATAGGATCAAAGACAATTTACTGTTACCTATTGTTCTCCAAATCACACAAGTACCTCTGGGTTTGTATGAATGGGCATAGACTAATGGACAGACGGACGGACAGAAGTTCTAACGGGAGAGTAATAATGTGGCTACTCTATTGTTCTCTCTATTGTTCTTTTTAGCCACATAAAAGAAAATAGCCATTTAAAAGCATTATGGAATGAATGACATCTAAGAGAAAGAACAGTTACCTATTGTCTCTCTAGCCACATTATAACTGTCCCATGAGAGCGTCAATTTAATGGACTAAGGGGCCATTTTTTTGGTTATTTTCTTTTGTTTAATAGCCCCTTTTTCTATTGTTATGGAATGAACTCTTTTGTTCTCTTTTGTTCTGTTTACAGTTAGATGACCCCCTTCTCGTCTTAAATAGCCCAGACAGATGGATGGACTGAGAGATAAAGCGGCGACTATATGCTCACTCTTCGGGAAGCATAATAAATAAAATAAAAACCTAAAAAATAAATATATAAATAAGATAAATTTAAAAAAAAGAAAACATGTTTTTATTGAAAATACAGTTGACAAGGATAGATCAACAAAAGAAAGTTTTTGGAGACCTGTCACCGAGTATTGTCACCTGTATGTATTATTCATTTATGGTGTGTTCTTTGGTATTTTTTGGATTTAAGTGAAATAAAACAATTATTTCTTTTTAAGAAAATGATAAAATACCTGAATAATTCTGTGCAAGAAATAAAGTAAACACATAAATTTAGGCAGAAAATATCTCTCTTTACCAAGGCTGGCAGATGCCACTATGAGTGTTTTAATTTTATAGAAAATCATTATAAACAATTCATTTTTTGTAAAATTTGAGAAAGATATTAAAGGAACATTGAAAATTATCAAACACAGCGAGCTATTTCACTTCAAACAGTAAAATAATAATAGAAAACTAGAAATATTAAGTAATAGTGTTTTGTACTTAATTAGGTGTAATGCCCCAGAGCTAAATCTGTAACATGCCGGAAAATGGTGTTCTAAGCTAGGTTTTTCGCAAAGGTCAATTAACCAATCATGTACAACTTACAGATCACTTGCTCCTCCATGTACCGAAAGCAGGTCACATGCTCCTCCATGCCTCAAACATTAATCGCGTACCAATACCCTGCGGGCTGGAGCCCAAAGGGAATTATTTGCTTTTCAAACACTGCAATTTCTTGAGCTTTAAATTTCATTAAAAATTTAGTTAAAATTCTTAGGTACTATAATCCTGCAACAATCAGCATTAAATTATGTAGACATAATTATGTTATTTCTACAAATGATTCATTTGCTTAAAAGTAGGAAGAAAATGTTAGAGGGAGATGTTTTTTATTCTTTTTTACTTAAAAAAAAATGCATAAATGATCTGATACTTCTCCAAAGGAACTTACGGCTATTTAATTCAAGTCACACTTATAGTTGTCCAAATTGCCAATTATCAAACAAAAGGGCCATCATGACAATAATTGTACACATTAATTATTGGAAAACATTGTTAAGCAAGATTGCATTTGTGAAAAATGCTATGCCACCGCATTATTAATATACTCAATACGGAAGACGGACAAAACCCCACCAGTTAAAACCCCACCACTAAATTTTATAGAGTGGACAAAACCCAACCACTAAATTTTACAGAGTGGACAAAACCCCACCGCTTCAGTTTATAGAGTGGACAAAACACCACCAACTTTATTTTTTTTAGACTGACTTTCATGAAATGTATTTAAATTTATTTGACACGAACTTAATTTGAATTAATGTTTTTTCATTTGAATGATTTATTTATTAATTTATTTTTTATGTTCATATACATGTATGTACATTTATTTAAAAGGAATATTCCTTAATAGTGCCAGATATCCTTGTTTAAAAATGTATAATTGAAATCAAAGAGTTTTCTTGTCTTGTTTTCTTTATTATTAATGTATCTGCTTAATAAATATATATATTTTAATTCATAAAATCTTGCCCAATAATTGGTAAGTGTGGGGTTTTGTCCACTCTATAAAACTGCAGTGGTGGGGTTTTGTCCACTCTGTAAAATTTAGTGGTGGGGTTTTGTCCACTGTATAAAATTTAGTGGTGGGGTTTTGTCCACTCTATAAAATTTTGAGTGGTGGGGTTTTAACTGGTGGGGTTTTGTCCTACATTCACTAAATACTAGTGTCGGAACAGAAATGTTTGTTTTTTTCTATACAATTGAACATTGCCATAATGCACTGATCCCTGACCTATCTAATACTGATTATCAGATTAGGAGATACAATAACAATTTCACCACAACCTATTTGTTAACAAAAGAGCACATGTCAATGTTTGTAGTTAAATCTATTGTTATTCAAATAAAAGATCAGAGTAGAGATCTATCAATGCAGTTGAGTCTAGTGAATTTGGTGGTAAAAGGTTATATTTCAGATGGCCTAAATTTCATGACTATACATCAAAGTACAACACAGTAAGACACTTTGTCAAAATCTAGGTCAGTTGATATTGAAGTTAAATTTACATTTTAATCAGAGCACATGGTTCAAATTTCATAGTTGCACATCACAGGACAAAAAAGTAGGTCATATCATCAAAATCTAGGTCACCTGATATCAAAGATCAATTTTACAACTAAAACTGTGCACAAGGTCCAAATTTTATGCCTGTACATCAAAGGACAAGACAGTATGTCAATTGGGCAGGGCAAAATTTTGACACAAGGGTTTAATTGAAACAATCTTGATACAGGTCCACCACACAATGTTTCATGTCAAATTTAGCTGCAGCTTTCGCCTATTCAGAAAACATTTGTTTTAGTTTCTGTTTTTACAATGTGTACAAAATGAAAATCAATGCCCCTTGGGTAGGGCCAATTTTGACACAAGGGGCAACATTTGACAAACTCTGGTAGAGGACCTATAGATGATATTATATAGCAAATATCAAAGCTCTAAGCATTGTACCTTCAGACAAGAAGGCCACTGTCAATTCGGGAAGATTTTTCAAGTTTTTACTATATTCATATTGGGAAAACCTATCGCCCTTAGAGCAGGGCAATTTTGACACTATGGGCCAAATTTAAACAACTTTGGTAGAGGACCTATTGATGATATTATATACCAAATATCAAAGCTCAAAGCCTTGAACCTTCAGACAAGAACATTTTTTAATTTTTTACTTTATGTACATAGTAAAAATCAATGACCCCTGGGGTGGGGCAAATTTGACCCCAGGGCTTTAATTTGAACAATCATGGTAGAGGTTCACTACATAATGTTTCATGCAAAATATCTAACTTGTAGCCTTTGTCAATTTAGAAAAGATTTTTTTACTATATACATACAAGGAAAACCTATGAGCACTGGGATGGAGTTAACTTTGACACTAGAGGCAAAATTTGAACAATTTTGATTGAGTACCTATAGATGATATCATATACCAAATATCAAAACTCTTAGCTTTGTACATTCAGGCAAGTGATATTTTAAGTTTTTACTATATGTCCATAGTGAAAATCAATGACCCTGGGGCAGGGCCAATTCTGACCCCAGGTCTATAATTTGAACAATCCTGGTAGAGGTCTACTAGACAATGCCTTAGGAAAAATATCTTACGCTCTAGGCCTTGTGGATCTTTACAAGAAGATTTTTTTTAATTTATTCTTATTATTCCTTTTGGTTGCCATGGCAACCAGATTTTTGCATGGAATGAAATTCTTTAAACAACTTTGGAAGCTCCAAGGATCAATCCTGACAAGTTTGGTTGAAATTGGACACGTGGTTTTTCACAAGAAAATTTTTAAGTTCACTATAGAATCTATATAACACACATACATGTACACACAAACACAAAGGTGAATCTCTATATGCCACTGCATCGCAGATGCTGCAGTTGCATAAAAAGTTTCTAATTTGGAAGTGATAGCTTTAAATTTCAAAAGTAGGTTACTTGGTCAAAGTCTTCCAATTATCATAAAGACATTCTTCCACAAGTGGTTTAAATCTATAGCTTGAAAAGTACAAAAGTAAGTCATTATGTCATAGACATTTAATGATATTTACATCTGTGTAGCTTTGTATGAACCATCTGTTCTCGATAATTTAGCAATTTGTATTATACAATAATTTAGATCCCCACCTGGTCAACAATGCCACATTTATATATCAAACCACATTTATATATCAAACCTTTAAGCCAAATAACTTTTGAAAGGTATTTTGATTGATGATTTTTTAATACATCATTATTCACGCATGACTTTGGCTACCTACGTTTGCTTTAAATTTCTTACCATAGAGACTAGACGAATTTTGACACCAAAATCATACTTCGAACTAACTTTGTAGAGGTCCATTTGACAATGCTACACTAGAAATACCGGCATGCTAGCTTGCAGTTTCTGAGAAGTTTTTTTCTCCATTTATAAGCTCCTATAAACATGATTAGCAACTCACCAAAACCATTTATAACATTTCCAGTGGAGTTTCATATAAGGAACATCCTGCCATAATTCCAGGCATGTTTCATAAAAGTGTGATGATTGGTTTTAGAGGAGACATCATCATTGAAATAACTGTGGCCAAAGCAACAAAGAATAATCAATTTAAAGACAATTTGAATCACTAAAAACCACAGAATGCCCTAGCATTACTGTTCAATGACCTAAAATAAAGACCCAAAAGAAATGTTTATAGATTTTCTTAAAATGCTCAAGACATAGAACAAAACTTTAAACATTAACTGTTTCACTTCAGGAAGGGAAACAATTCACTAAATATCCAAGCCTTGGAGAGTGACCTACAATAATGATCTAAAAGACATATGTAATTTGAATACCAATGCAATTAAGACTTACATCAACAGTCTGAACAACTCACCTTGGCACCACAAACAAGAGCAAAATGTATCCTTGGATCCAGTTCATTGACAACATACTTGAGTCTTGGATCACCAGCTTTAAATTGCGGGTTTATTGAAGCAGGATGACCTCTATTACCTAAATCATAATAAGAAGGCCATATTGAACATTTATCACTCACCTGAATGAAGATTGACTCTTATATCTCAGGTAGATATTCTCTTAAAATTTTATTTGACTGTTCATACCTACATATCAAGTATATCTTAAATATCGGTAAATAACAAAACGTTCTATATAATGATTTCTGCATAAAATGCTATTCTTTTAGGACTCCATGTTATTGCCTTAGTGGTAACATCGATTTACTGTTTTCAATATACAGTAAGTAGTTTTACAGGTCACTCTGGCACTTTCTGAAATATATCCCATTAACAAGATTGCATTTGTGAAAAAAAAGCTAATTTTGACACCAAAGCTATAATTTGAATAATATTGATAGAGGTTCACTAGACAATGTTTTATGCTAATTATCTAAGCCCTAGCCATTGTAGATTTGAAGAAAAAGATTTTTAAATTTTTTACTATATACATATTTGGAAAACACAGTACTGGTGGAAACACCAGCAATTATGTTGAAACATCTTAGAGTAGACTGATAATTTAGTAATAAACAAATCAAAATAAGATTCCTATAGAAATAATGAATACATAATGAATAATGCTGCTCAAACACTTAAAAAGTATAGAGTATCGGTATCGATAAAATATACAACTTACAAAATTCCTAAGTACTAAAAGTAGACAAAAGCTCCGAAAAGAGCAATACTCACCTCTAAGTATACCATGTTCTATGTCATCTAGACTGTAATTTAATCCTCCAATGTTGTACTGCGTAGTTTTCCAAAAATGTTGAACTTTAAGTACTGACTGTGGTAACTCAGACTGTTCAACAAGGCCATGGATAGTTAAAGCATTGTACACATCTTATGTCAGTGAAGGATAAAAATAAATAAGTTTTAACAACCCACATATTGCATGTTTTCAGTGCTTCATAGTGAACTAAGACTTGTGCAGGAAATTCCTCAGTGCTTGATAGTAAAAATAGAGTCATGCAGGATAATTCCTTGACCTTAACCATTAACCTAGAGACTTGGTTCATGTACTTGACACTTATGACCTCTATGTGTGACCTTGAACTTAGCCGCAGGGACCAAACTTTAGCATGCAACACTCCGCCTCACAATGGTGAGCATTTGTGCCAAAGTTATATTGAAATCCCTCTTTTTTCTGTAGAAGTTTTGCTCCGGACAAGCTTTGTCAATTACCTTTAAGTGTGACCTTGACCTTTGACCTGGAGACCTCCTTCAAAAAGCAATCCTCCTTTATAGCTGAAGAACATTCATGTATATATATACAGTTGCTGTTTTCAATGCAACCACCATCAAGTTGTTATCTTGTAAGTAAAAATGCTACAACTGATGGACGGAAAGACGTCAGGGGTATAAAGCTGTTAATCCTATAAAATTTTAACCGCTGTAGGTTGATTAATACTTGAGTTATTGAACGAAAACTGTTTCCTGGAGTTTAAAGGTGATAGTAACCTTGATCTTTGACCTTGTGACCCAAAAGTCAATAGGGGTCTTCTACCCAATATGGACAATCATCCTATGAAGTTTGAATATTGTGGGCCAAATGGAACTTAAGTCATGCTCCGGAAACTGTTTTCAGTTTTAAAAGATAATAGTGACCTTGACCTTTGACCTTGTGACCCAAAAGTCAATAGGGGTCTTCTACCCAATATGGACAATCATCCTATGAAGTTTGAATATTGTGGGACAAATGGAACTTAAGTTATGGTCCGAAAACCAAATTGCTAACGAACAGATGGACGTCCGTTCCAATTAAATGGACAAGGGGGCCATTTCTTTTGTTATTTTCTTTTGTTTAATAGAGGGCCATGGCACCATATTCTATTGTTATGGAATGAACTCTATTGTTTTCTTATGTTCTGTTTACAGTTACTTGGCCCCCTACTTCTATCAAATGCACAGACAGACGGACAGGCATATAAAAAGAAAATCAAAATCAAATGAGACATGCTTTTAAATTTATCATTTCTTACAGGAATAATTGGAATGTCATTAACTGTATTTAATTTAAATACGCAATACAGTTAAATACTTTTATTAGTGTGATTACACTGTGCTTGTTATACTCGTGTATAAAAATCACTGATGTGCTATCTTCGTCTTCATCCAATTTTTCAAAATATCAAAATTGAAACTTTTCAATATACATCAAAACAAAACTTGACAAACATCAAAATTGCTACTTTGAATAGCTTTATATACTTTTTCTATCTTATACTGGTTATATAAAAGGATAGGTTAGAGTGTTGAGAAAAATCAATAGACATTTTGCCCTGTTTACTCTGTTGCCCCAAAAATCTCTGTTGCGTATTTTAGACAAACCCCATGAATTGTGGGTAACTTCTGTACATGTGTGGGAAAACCAACTTTCATTTTTGCATCAAAACCTAACGTGATAAGTGCATTTACGCGCATAATTGTTTTTAAAGGGGTGGTTAAAATGTAAGTTATTGTTATCTTAGTTATAATATTGTGTGGAAATTTGTTACACCAAATTACCTGTCAGACCTCAGTGGATCTCCTTTAAGTCCTCATTAACTTTAAACAAGAAGGATACTTATAAAGAAAGCCTTTTTCTCATCCCCAGAGATGTCATCAAGAGAAACATTTTGAAGCTGGGGAGCCAAACTATCCTTATAATCATGAAACAGTTGACTCCCTTTCATCCTCACATAGTCAACACCTTTCCCATCTTCCAGTATAAACTCGCCTTTCAATCTGAAAATAAATAAGATGGCATTTGTTACAAGATGCTATGTCACTGCATTATACAACATTAAACAGTAATAACAGAACTTACAGAAGTAGTACATTTCTTCTTTCTAAACAATCAAACTTTGTTATAATGCAGTAGATTGTACTGAATTTGGAAGTAGGTCACTGGGTCAAAATACACAACAACTATTATAGCAATATATTCTTTATCTGAAACTGTACACATGTTTAAATATACTAGCTGAATATAACTAGAAATGTGTCCACACGCCACGGATGCCCCCACATGCAGCCAAATTTTCAAATGATATAATAATATTTAGGTCCAAGTTTGTTTGCACAAACTATTTTTTTATTCATTCCAAGTTTTTATTTTTCAATGTTAACGCAAAGCATTTTTCTACAAAGTTCAAGGTCATGAAAGTATTCAGTGTTAACATTTTGTGCATATTTGAAGCCAAGATCATTTGACTACATACATTTCCGCAAATTAAGAGTGCGAAAACTGAAAAATTTAAAACATATTCCAACATTCAAATGAGATAACTTTGTCCAAAATCATTGAAACATGACTAAATTCAAACTTGGCTTGCTGATTCCTATGATGTGTCTATATGTCAAATTTGAGTTGAAAGTGTATAACTGTTGGGGGGGATAATGAATGGAAACTAAATATTTCAATTTTTTTCAAAGTTCTAGAGGGATAACTCTGTCAGAGATCATCAAATAGGGCTGGGGTGAGTATCCGAGTACTCAGATAATCATGAACCAAAATGAAAAATCAGGTATGAATATTCATCAGTCCACAGATCATGGATCTTGATTTTATTTGAACGATAAAGTGATTCCTTTTTTCGAAACCAATTACTTCCTAGCTCAGCATCCTCAGGTACCTGTTTAATTCCCGTCTTTAATCGACTTATTTGTATTTAAGTATAATTTATACTCAAATTGTAAATACTTTTAGAGTGTGAGAAACACTGAATGTATATAAACAAATAACTAACACTTTAGTTTATGCTTTTTTCAAGGTTTAACAAAAAAATTATTTATAGCGTATATTGCTAATAGCCGTAAGTAATATCAAAGATTTTTCAACTTATGGTTTGATATTAATTTCTTGATAATATATATGCTCTGATTGAAAATCTATCTCTTTTATTGTAAAAATGTTTGTTTTATATATTAAAAATGTCTGTTTACAAAGTATTGTTTGTTTTATCTTATAATTCTTTAACTGTTATGACTGATGTATTGTATTGATAAAAACTCGTCACTTACTATATTAATTTAATAGTGGTTAATAATAAATGTTTGTTGTTCTGTGTCTTGCTTTTTAATCATTCAAATTTGAAAAAGAACTTGTTGATAATAACCAGATAAAATATGTTTCAGTGTTCGTGTACTAGGTTTTGTTTAATAAAGTTATGTTCTGTTCAGTTTGTATTATAATTTATTGCGGACTAAACAGTTCTCAAACCTCTAAGCATTCAAGAGGTTTTTTAATGTAGATAAAATATATCTTTATATAAATTCTTTACATAATATGTACACATTAATCTTTATGTAAAATTTCTGTAAAATTTGACTGAAATTCAACTATTAAACAAGAGGGCCATGATGGCCCTGAAGTCGCTCACCTGTATATAGGCCCCCGGAGCGGGGCCAGTTTAAACCCCAGGGCTTTTATTTGAACAAACTTGGTAGACACCCATTAGAAGATATTTCATGCTTAACATCTAAGGTCTTGCTGGTCAAGTTTTTTTCTTTACACATATAGTTAAAAACAAGGACACACCTGGGGCAGGGCCAGTTTTGACCCAAGGGCTTTTATTTGAACAATCTTTGTAGACACTTACTAGAAAATGTTTCATGCTTAATATCTAAACTCTAGCTATTTGGGTTTTTTCAAAGAAGACTTTTAAGTTTTTGCTATACACATATAAGGGAAATCAATGTCAGCCCGGGCGGGGCAATTTTGACCCCAGGGCTTTTATTTGAACAAACTTGGTAGACATACATTGAACATGACATACATTAGAAGAAGAGACATTTTTCTATATGTTAGGGAAAATCATGCTAAATTTGACCATCTTGTAAGATTAGAAGATTTTCTCTAGCTCTTTTTGGGTTTTTTAAAAGAAATTTTTTTAAGTTTTTACTACTTTATGCATATAGGGAAAATCAATGACCCCCTGGGGCGGGGCCAATTTTGACCCCAGGGCTTTTATTTGAACAAACTTGGTAGACACGATTTTTAAGATGTTTACAAATGCTAAAAATCTTACCTCTGGGAGCTTTTTGGGGATTTTATTTGACTTTGGTAAAACTAGAAATTTTTTTTAAGCTTTTTTTGGGTAAGAAGATGTTTAAAGTTTTTTCTTTTGGTTGCCATGGCAACCAGAGTTCTGCATGGAATGGAATTCTTTGAACAACTTTGTTAAGGCTTCACACAAGGAACATCCCTGTGAAGTTTCATTATGATTTGCCTTATGGTTTCAGAAGAGATGTCGTTTGAAAAGTGTGAACGGACAACGTACGACAGACGACGGACGAAGAGTGATCCTAATAGCTCAACCTGAGCATATGCTCAGGTGAGCTAAAAAGGTCTATTTCCATCTTGGAAAAGCACAACCCTCTGTTTTAAAACTAACATGGCCTCTTAAAATAAAGAACCTAATCTCAAACCCCTTCAAGTATCTCTAAAATTCCACAGACGCTTGGGGGTCAGATCCTGCCCCCCCCCCCCCAACGTGATACGCCCCTGTAAACACTCTACCAAAACTATTTTAATATTTAAACATGAATTGTACATCTGTTACAACGATAAAAATGGTTTTCAAACAATTTTTACGTATATGAAAAAATACCGTATACCATCAAGTCTCAAAAAAGTACTTTAGTACTGAGTCACGTACGACTAGCCAGGACACACTGTATTGGCTAGCCGTACGGCACTTTTCAAAATTATATGGAAGTCGAAAATGTATATGTTATTTTATGACTTTAAGTGAGGATTTTAAACAAGAAACAGCAAATGTCTTCGTATGTTTACTCTAACATATGGCACCAAAATTTACTCTTGAGGAATTAATCACATTGTTGGCTATTGATCTTTGTCATCTGGTTGCATGTAAACAATTGAAATAGTTTACAAAGTTTTGATAATAATCCTTTTTTGTTTCATTAAGTTTAATTTTTGACACCTTTAAAATGGAAAAAAAGAAAAATAACACTGAAAATAATTGTTGTTGGGCTCTGATAATTGCGTCTATTAAGTATTTCTGACGGTTTAGAAGCTTGTCAATCATTAAGGAATTAAAGTTTGCATGTTCCGTGAAACGCATTGACACTTTTATCAAGATAGATTATACAATGCTTGTTCGTATTCATTTTTTACAAAATGACGTATCATCTTTTTTAAAGTGAACACACGAGGACAAATGCAGGGACTAGTGATTAAAATCCTCGTTTAACGACACTAAATAACATATGCATATAATTTTGAAAAGTGCCGTACGGCTACACAATATAGTGCGTCCTGGCTAGTCGTACGTGACTCACGTACCGCTAGAACTTTTGTCTAGCCGTACGGGTCCGTACAGCTAGCCGTTTCCTTGAGAATAGGTTGCGTGTGAGATTACGTACTTATACGATATAATTATTCAATTAACTCTCTCATTCCTATAATTCTTTCATTTATTTACACTATCAAAATTCTGGTAAAAAGTACGACTACGTTTAAGGTATTGTAAGACGTATTCTTAACTAAATATGTGGCCGATTTGGTAAAGGGCCGAAACGTCCTGGGTAATTAGCGGCCGATACGTCTTAGGGCCGAAATGACTCGAAATCTTTAAAAATTGTGCCGAGTCCCTGTGGGGATACTCACTGTAGCATAGTTTTCTGCATTTTCTTTGACAATTCAACAGCCGGTATTCTCGACGTATCTGCTAATTGCTTAATGTTTAAAATTCGAACGTTTTCTTCGGATGCCATCTCACTGGTATTTTTTAAACGGTGAATTTCTGTCACGATGAATCCGGATAAATCCTGTGGAGTGAGACTAGTACATAGTCACGTGAGAATCCGGGTCAGCTCGGCCCTAAAACGTACTCGGCCCCCGAGTCAGCTCGGCCCTATTCCAACTCGGCACGGGTCAACTCGGCCCACTTTTCAATTAATAATATTTAGGTTTGTGTTATCACTATTTATTGTAATTATTGTAATAATTTATAATCCATGGATTGACAGTTTCCGAACTAGCAGCAGACAGGCTTTCTTATCAGTAGAATAGTGATTAAAGATAACTGTACCTCACTGTATTTCTGACTCGTGGTAGGTTTAACCGTAAATTTAAATACCTTCAGTGTCCAAATTTTCAAAGCCATTTTTGCTCACACTGCTTTAATTGGCTTAATATTTAAAATTGAACATTTTTTGGTTCTATTTTTCATAGGGATTTTTAAAACATGATTGGGAAAATTTTCATTAATCTATTTTTGAATCCAGAAAAAAATAACTTTTTTATAGATATACATGTCACGTGAGAAGCTGTCTACAAATGAAAATAATAATAACAAGCATATTTTCACATGTTTGTACCTTAACCATGCTTTAGCAAAGTTAACAGTTAAACTATTTTGTAATGGGCAATTCGGCGAGTTGACCGGCCGGTTTATGGCATATTTTCGTAGTGTACAGATGCCATAATGCGGAACAACAACTATTAATTCATGTCGGAAATTTTTAGTCTTGCCTAATTAGACTTGTCAAAGAACAGAGAAGTTTTGACGGGAATGTATTTCGCAATATTTGAAAAGGTTTGACAGTAATTTTATAATAGTGCAATGGGTCAAACGTTCACGCCAAATTAATTAGGCTAGATTAAATTTATCTACTGTATTTTATAATTTTTAGGTCTAATTTTTAATTCATCTTTCATACAAATCAATTAACAAATTATAAGCATGAAAAACAATGACGTTATTATATAACATAAACTATTTATTATTTCATCATAAATATAACTTTGCATACACATAATGATATACAATGAACTTTGTATAATGCGTCATGTAGCTGTGATACTTCAAGACAGTGATTTTTGTGCCCCCACTTTGGGATGGGGGGGGCATTTAGATTTACCCTTGTCTGTCCATCCTTTCTCATTTTGTGTCGCACATAGTTCAAAAAGTATTAGAGTTATTACCCTTGACTTAGTAAAAATTTGCAATTTTCAACTTGTGTCACAGGTTTAGCATGTGTAGTTGTACACCTGGGAATTTGACTTGACTTAGAAAACTTTTGCAATTTTCAACTTATGTTGCATGTCACTCAAAAGGACTTGACATAGAGTCATGAAACCTTAAGGGAATGTTGCTCAGTATATGTAGTTGTGAACATTGGGTTTCGCTTGTAGATTTATCAAGCATTTGTAGAGTTATTGCCCTTGACTTAGTAAAAACTGTTTCATAATGCTGTGTTATTTGTTCCGTGAGTCATACATGCCATATCCCCCGCCGGGGGACAAAAAACCCCGATTTTCGACCATGTCTCCCGATCTCCCGCCGTGGGATCGAAATCCCCCGATTTTCAAAAATTCAACCAACAAAAAAATTAAAGCATCATTTTTACCAATAAACATAATTAAACAATAGACTTAAACAACTTTTACCTGCCTGATATATATGCCTGAAGTAATATTTCCCCATTAAACAGCACGGGTCTAACGGATAACTGTATTGTTAGTTACTCCGACACTCTTCAGATGTCAAGGAATAACAAATCTATGTATGACAATTCTCCTTTGATAAACCTGTCAATCAGTGTCAGTATTGCAGGTGCTTAACCAATGACAGCGTCCGATACTGAATGTGTGACGTATCAATTTTTGTTGGGATATGTAACCCCGCCTTGAGTTTGTTGTCGGCATTGGGTCTTTGAAGTTGATAAGTGCAGATAAAAAAATAATGATCAGGCAATAGAAACTCAAAGAATCACAGATTAGCACCGTGCTTGAGTTAGAATCAACCAACTTTACAGGAATAATGATCAACATCACTAAATTACAGTAAAAATTATCAACATCACTGTAAAGCTATGCACCTGGGACTTTGCATTGGATTTCTTCAGTTTTTTTAGAATTATTGCTCTTGACTTACAGTCGCATAAATTTGCAATTTTCAACTTGTTCATGTATAGCTGAAAAAGTATTTCTTGTAGGCCTGAAAGTTTACAAGAATGTTGGTCAGCATGTGTACTTATGCACCTTGGTGTTTGCTTGTGGATTTATGCAGTATTTGTAAAGTTCTTTCCCTTTACTTAGTAAAAGATTTACAACTTGTGGCACATGTAGTCCAAAATATATTTGACCTACAGTTATGAGATTGACAAGTCAATGGCGTCCTATGGACACATTTCTAGTTTTTTCTCATTTTCAATTTGTATATTATTTTTATGGCCATAGCAACCCTATGCCATACGAACGCTGCAGCTTAATAAAGTTATACTTACAATTTTAAAATATTTAAAAATTGTCCTTATTTTCGCAGCACTCTTTATAATATGTAAATGACATCAACTTTCTTTCATAACGTTTATAGAACATTTTAAAAACAAGCGTTGCTACGATTCATTTAGTTTGTTAGAGATGTCAATGGAGACAGGAATGTGTACGCCAGAGAGGAATGCGACATTGTTTGAGCAGAGGGCAGTAATTTAAAGTTCTGTGTAAATCTTGGTATGACGCCACAGCAGACTTAAAAGAAAACGTGGAAATTGCATCTGGAACAAAACACTTGTCTCGTTCGTTAGTTTATATGTGGGCACAAAAGCTTCCTTGAGGGTAGAGAAGAACTTCAGGATGATAAGAGATGCAACAGACCAACTAAAACTTGTTGTGATGCAAACACTTTGTGAGTAAGATAGAAGGAGAACAATACCAGAAATGAGCAATATGCTGTGTTTAAGTTATGGATCTGCTCAGAAGATATTGACTGTGTAGCTATGCGACAACTGAGTGTGAGATGGGTACCGCGTTTATTAACGGAGAACTAGATGGCAACAAGAGTTGCTCACAGCAAGTGGTTCTTGAAACGGTACAGACGGCAAGGACAGCAATTCCTTGATAGAATAATAACGACAAGGGCTACAGATAACATTTTGTGTATATTGAGTCATTACCCTTTGTTTTGTGATCTATTGGGTTTTTTTTATTTTCATAGGGTTATTTCTGTATTTTTTTACCCTACCCTCTCTAACCAATTTGGGTTATAAAGCATGAGTTCATGTATTCTACCCAAAATTTCTGACCTTCATTGTAGACTGTTGTAGGTTTTGTATGGTAATAAAAAAGCTACTTACTTCGATGCTTTATGGTTTATTGGCCTTGGAGATTTCCAAGCTGCCTGATACAATTTAAAGGTTAAAACAGTCTGAAACAGTATGATCTGCCTGATGTAGTGTTACGTATAATTTACATCATTACGCACCAGTTCAAATATAGTTTGCATAAATAAGAATTTATTTACTTTTTCTTACCCTTAGTTATTATTTCTATTGCGTTTTTTGACATTTTAATTGGGTAATAACGCAAATACACTTGTTATCTGCAGCCCAGTGAACGACTGAAGAAACTTGGCTTTATTACTACGATCCAGAAACGAAACAACAGAGTAGCCAGTGGAAGAACACAGATTTCCCACCGCTGAAGAAAGCTCCTGCCAGTAGATAGATGGGCAAACACATGTTTATTGCGTTTTTTGACAGCAAGGTCTTCTGCTGTGCCTTGCTGTACCTTTAGAAGTGACGGTCAATGCAAATTATTACTCGAAGGTAAGAAGAAAAAATAAATATATTTTTATAAAATATAACATAATAATAACAATATAAATGTTATATATAATGTATATGAATAATGAAATAAATATTAAAGTAGTAATGCAAATCACACAACATTTGTGTAAACAATTGGTCTTTGCTATTTCAGATTATCCGCCGGAACCTACTCAAGGCGATACGGAAAAAAGGCCCGGATGTGTACGTGAACTTGGAAAATATAATTCTTCACCAAAATAATGTTCCAAGCCATGGAGACCCAGATCCCCATCACCATCCAGCTAGGGGCCGAGGTCTTGAACATCTGCCTTACTTTCAGGATCTTGCCACTTGCGACTTTGCGTTGTTTCCCAAATAAAAGGCAGAGTTAAAAGGACACAAGTTTACAGAGTTTCATGATTTACAGTCCAGGGCATTGTCTGTGTTGCGTTCATTTGATAATTCATTTCATAAAAACATTTTCAGTCAGTGGGTGCACAGACATGAACAATGTGTAGAAGTTGGTAGTGCGTTTTTGATACGCCAATTTGAAAAATGAGTTGTATTAAAGTTCCCATCCTGGCGGGCAGCGTCCAATATATGTCAAGAGCATATCTCCTAAACCCATGAAGAATTTTTAATGAAACTTCATAGAAATGTTCACCACTATGAGAAGCCATGTCACGCGCATGAACCAGGTCTATAGGTAAAAGGTCAAGGTCAAACTGAGAGGTCATTGGAAAGCATTTGTCTCTCGCAAAACTTCTGCATGCATAGAGGGATTTCAATATAATTTGGCAAAAATATTCACTATTGTGAGGTAGAGTGTGGCATGCAAAATTTATGTCCCTGCAGTTAAAGTCAAGGTCACACATAGGGGTCAAAGTTCAGATAAAAATATGAAAACGAGTATTGGGACCATTTAGTCATCATTTATTGAGGGATTGAAAAACAAATGGTCAGTACCATGACTGCTGGTGTGAAACTTGTAATTAAGGTTAATATATGCAAGGTCAAGGTCACTAAAGAGGATTGTCAAGGTCACTATAGATGATAAAATTGAGAGATTTTAGAGCATATCTCCTTCACATATGCTGTGTCCAGGGCATGAACCAGGTCTCTAAGTCAAAGGTCATGGTCAAACTGAGAGGTCATTGAAAAACCATTGTCCAGAGCAAAACTTGTACATGCATAGAGGGATTTCAATATAACTTCGCACAAATGTTCACTATTATGAGGCAGTGTGAAAATTTAGGTCCCTGCAGATAAGGTCAAGGTCACACATAGGGGTCAAAGTTCAGATAAAAAAATCACTAGAGGTGATAATAAGATATATCCAGATATTGCCAGAGCATACATTGTATCATATATGCTATTCTATAATGCCCACATCTCTCTCAAAAGCTTCTGTGACAGGTGTATATTGCGGCAATGTTGCCCTTGTTCAGAAGATGTTGAACGCTGATGTCACGATGTAAAGAAAGTTGCGAGTGAACTTCAGTGATCAGCTATATATATATTTTTGAAAATTGTTATTTCAGATGAAATATACTGATTATTTATCTTAAACTTACACATCAAATTGATTTATCATTGAATAAATGTCAAATATTATTATATTTATTTTTCTTCCCCGAAAAACTAATTCATGGAGTGTGACCACGAATATATTTATCAACCCTCGTAGTTTTATAGGAATTCAATAAGACTAGTTTTGTTTGATGCAGAAAGACTGCTTGTTTAGTTGTTAAGTTTACTAACTTAAACCTCTCTAAGGTTGTTTTTAGGGAAATTATTCCTCTTTCAATACAACCAAGGTTATTATGCATAGCTTTTATTACTAATGCACACTTTATTGCTTATTTCAGCATCAACTTTATGAACTGCAAAAATGGCTGATGAAAGGAATTTTAGAAGCTATTATTATGAGAAAGTTGGATTCAGGGCAGTGGAAGAGAAAAAGTCCATAGAGTTACTTCTTAAAGATAAACCTCTGGATCGTGAGAAGCTAAGACTATTCTGTCTACGTTTTCCAGTGTCAGCTCGATATAGAGTTTATCTTTGGAAAATCATTCTAGGTAATAACAATTAGGAGATTTTAATTTGTTTATTTTCAATCAAAGTATTTTTATTGTTGCATTTTTAACTCAGCAGTACTCAGCATGGCTAAGGTGAGCTATTGTGATCACATATCATTGAACATTTGTCCATCACTTCCATGACATTGTTGAAAGACATCAAATCAAATGAATAATCATAAAATAGAGGTCAAAATATTTAAATGCAAAATGGTACTTTTATTAAACATTAGTACTAAACATTTCCTCCTATATTTTAAGTCCCCTACCAGTTTTACTAGGAGGAGACAGGAGTTTACCCACTGTCTGTCTGACATTCTGTCAGGAGAAATCTAGATCCTGTAAAGTACAATTTTAAGCTAGGTTGATCATTAAAAATGTACTTTTAGTACAATTAAAACATACTTAGAAATACACATAAAACGAACAAAAGAAATGTACTTAAAAATACACTTAAGCTTAGTGTATTAAAAACATACTTGTTGAAAAATTCACTTTAAATGCAGAAAAAACACAGTGCCAATACCACAAACTTTTAGCACACACTTAAGTGCATTTTCAATAAGTTCATTTTTATTATGAAAAAATAAACTTTTAAAGTACATTTTGCGCACTTACAGGGCAGTTAATATCTTTTAAAAAAGGTTGTTAAAGTGTGTTTTTTATTTGCAAAAAGTAAATATAAAAAACGCAGTGCCAATACCAAACATGTTAAATGAACATTTAACAAACACTTTGATGTCGCAATTTATATGTTTAACCTGCGTTATGTGCACTTATTTTGGCAAGGGCCAGGGTACTTGGTATCTATAGATATGGAAATAATCCTCACCTAGCTCTGGTTAGCCTTTAAGTTAGGTTGGTTTATTTTTCTCAGTAACTATCAAAGTAATTATGACCCCCACCCCCCACTTCAAAGAAGTGGGGGTATATTGCTTTACATTTGTCTGACCGTCGGTTTGTCAGTCCGTATACCAAATGGTTTCCGGGTGATAACTACAGAAATCTTAGGCCTAGTTACTTCAAACTTGGTATGATGATTGAACATGACCAGTAGATGACCCCTATTGATTTGGGGTTCAAGGTCAAGGTCACATTGACCTTTTTGGAAAAAAAACGGTTTCCGAGTGATAACTAAAAAACGCTTAGTTGGTACTTGGTATGATTATTGTTAATGACTAGCAGATGACCCCTACAGATTTTGGGGTTAAAAGGTCATGGTCATAGTGACTTTGCAGGTAAAAATGGTTTCAAATCAATAACTGAAGAACGCTTAAGCTTAGGAACTTCAAACTTGGTATAATAATTGTTTATGACCAGCAGATGACCTCTATTGATTTTGGGGCAATGGGTCAAAGATCAAGGTCACATTGACCTCGTAGGTAAAAATGGTTATTGATCAATAACTTAAGAACACTTAGGCCTAAGAACTTCAAACTTGGTGTGATGATTGTTTATGACCAGCAAATAACCTCTATTGATTTTTTGTTTAATGGGTCAAAGGTCATGGTCACATTGACCTTGTAGGTAAAAACAGTTTCCGATCAATAACTGAAAAACGCTTAGGACTAGGAACTTCAAACTTGTTCATGACCAGCAGATGACCCCTATTGATTTTGGGGTCATGGGGTAAAGTTCAAGGTCTCATTGACCTTGTAGGTAAAATTAATTTCTGATCAATAACTGAAGAACGCTTAGGCCTAGGAACTTCAAACCTGGTTTGACGATTGTTCATGATCAGCAGATGATCCCTATTGATTTTGGGGTCAAGGGGTCAAATATCAAGATTGAATTTACCTTGTAGGTCAAAACAGTTTCTGATCAATGAATTGACTAGCTATGGGCTGTTGGCCCTCAAATTTTGTAGGTGGCATTGGTCTTGGCCAGTAGATGACACCTATTGATTTTGGGGTCAGAGATACAAAAGTCAAGGTTGCATTGACCTTGTTTTTCAAAATTATTTTCTATCAATATTTGGACAACCCATATAACCTTGACCTTCAAGCTTTACAGATGCGTTTCTTTTGGTCAGAAGATGACCTTAATGGATTTTTGCAATAAGGGGTCAGAGGTCAAGATCACATTGACCTCATAGGTAACAATGCTTTCTGATCAATATCCCATCTTATGGGCCTTTTACCTTCAAACTTCACAGGTGTATCGGTCTTGGCCTGTAGATAACCTCTATCGATTTAGGGGTCAAAGGTCAATGTCATATTGAGCTTGTATGTAAAGACTGTTTCTGACCAATAACTCAACAACTCAAGTTGCCATGGTTGATATTTTGTTATCAAACTAAAAATCCTTTTGGTATACACATTTCAAGGTCTTATGTAATGTAACAACTTGGCTGTTATTGATGAGGCCTACATGATTCATAAAATTTATGCATATATTATTTGTTAAGATTTAAATAACTTTGTCATAAAATTGCTACACACAACATTTGCGGTCACAATTACCTAGTGACTAGTCATGACCATTAATTAACCCTTATTAATTTTTTGGTCACTAGGTCAAAAGTCAGTCATAATAACCCATCACATGACTAATTGGCTGCCGACAGGGGGCATACATGTTTAACAAACATGTCTTGTTTTCTTTAAACTTAATATACATGTTAACTTTCAAAATATGACACCATTTCAGAAGGGCTGAGATAATCCTCAAATTCAGTTTTGGAATGTTATGTCTGTTTTTATACGCCCGTTTGAAAAACGGGACGTATTATGTGAACGCCCCTGGCGGGCGGGCGGCGTCCAATTTTGTCCGGAGCATATCTCGTACATGTATGGAGGGATTTTAATGAAACTTCATAGAAATGTTCACCACTATGAGGAGCAGTGTCGCGCACATGAACCAGGTCTCTAGGTCAAAGGTCAAGGTCACACTTAGAGCTCATTGAAAAATGCTTGTCCGAAGCAAAACTTCCACATGTATAGAGGGATTTCAATATTACTTGGCACAAATGTTCACCATTGTGAGGTGGAGTGTCGCGCGCAAGATTCAGGTCCTTGCGGCCAAGGTCAAGGTCACACATAGAGGTCAAAGTTTAGATAAAAATATGAAGATGTGTATATGGACCATTTAGTCATCATTTATTGAGGGATTGTAACACAAATGGTCATTATCAAGACTTTGGCTGTGATACATATAATTTAGGTCAATATATACAAGGTCAAGGCCACTGAAGATAATGAAATATCCAGATTTTGTCCAGAGCATATCTCCCACACGTCTGAAGTGATTGTAATGAAACATCATAGAAATGTTCACCACTATGAAGAGCAGTGTCGCGCACATGAACTAGGTCTCTAGGTCAAAGGTCAAGGTCACACTTAGAGCTCATTGAAAAATGCTTTTCCAGAGCAAAACTTCCACATGTATAGAGGGATTTCAATATTACTTGGCACAAATGTTCAACATTGTAAGGCGGAGTGTCGCGCGCAAGATTCAGGTCCTTGTGGCCAAGGTCAAGGTCACACATAGAGGTCAAAGTTTAGATAAAAATATGAAGATGTGTATATGGACCATTTAGTCATCATTTATTGAGGGATTGTAACACAAATGGTCATTATCAAGACTATGGCTGTGATACATATAATTAATGTCAATATATACAAGGTCAAGGTCACTAAAGATGATGAAATATCTAGATTTTGTCCAGAGCATATCTCCTACATGCATGGAGGGATTTTAATGAAATTTCATAGAAATGTTCACCATTATGAGAAGCCATGTCACGCACATGAACTAGGTCTCTAGGTCAAAGGTCAAGGTCACACTTAGAGCTCATTGAAAAACGCTTGTCCGGCGCAAAACTTCTACATTCATAGGGGGATTTCAATATAACTAACTTGGCACAAATGTTCACCATTGTGAGGCTGAGTGTTGCATGCAAAATTCAGATCCCTGCGACCAAAGTCAAGGTTACACATAGAAGTCAAAGTTCAAATAAAAATTTGAAGATGTGTATAGGGACCATTTAGTCATCATTTATTGATGGATTGTAGCACAAATGGTAACTATCATGACTACAGGTGTGACACATTTAATTTAGGTTAATATTTGCAAGGTCAAGGTCACTGGAGATGATTTAATATCCAGATGTTGTCCGGAGCATATTTTCTACATGCATGGAGGAATTTTAATGTTACTTTATAGAATTCTTCACCACCATGAGACGTAGTGCCCTGCACATGAACTAAGTCTCTAGGTCAATGGTGAAGGTCATAGTTAGAGCTCATAGCAAAACACTTGTCTGGAGCAAAACTTCTACATGCATAGAGGGATTTATTGGCACAAATGTTCATCATTGTGAGGCTGAGTGCTGTGCATAAAATTCAGGTCCCTGCGACCAAGGTCAAGGTCACACATCCTGTGCATATCTTCCATACTGATTTGTTTTAAGGTTCATTTAACAACACAGTGCCAAGGATAAAAACTTGCTTGCTAGATAACACTTATCCATAATGCCCCCATCTCCATCTAAAGCTTTCGTAAACGGGCGTATTTTGTGACTAATTGGCACCCTTGTTTATTGATTACTTTTATGATCACAATTTGTCCAGCATCCCAAGGGGGTCATTGATTTTCCTGATATGTATATATAGTAAAAACTTAAAAATCTTCTTGTGACAATCAAAATGCACTATGAATTAGATATTTGGCATGAAACATCTTTTAGTGGATGTCTACCAAGTTTGTTCATATAAATGTCCTAGGGGGTTATTGATTTTCCTTATATATACATGTATATAGTTAATATTAGTACCCATTTATGGCTAGTTTCTATATCAAAATTACCAATAGTATGAGTCAAGGGTTAGAAAGGGCATGTGTTGTTCAACATTTTTTGTAAACATTTGCTCTAATTCAGGTGCAGATATAAATTTTATGATATCGGTTTAAGTTTATCAATTATTTCTGCCTAAAATTCATTCATTGCTAACAATATTGATTGAGAACCTCAATAATCGGGTAAGAGATATAAGGGCCATCTGATGGCCCTCTTGTTTTCCTAACTTTTATGCCATAAAATAGTCGGGGCATATAGTGTATCACAGTTCTGTCATTCTGTCGTTACGTCATCATCAGTTTCCATTCATTATCATACCAACATTTGCACGCATTTAACTCAAATTTAATATATGGATAAACTGTAAGATATAATGCAGGTCTAGTTTGAATTTGGTTATGGTTTGTTGATTTTTGACAGATTTATGTCCCTTTTACTTTAAAAAAAAAGAAAGAAATTTTTAGTTTCCATTCATTATCTTCCCAACAGATGTACACATTCATCTCAGATTTGATATACTGGTCGAAGACCATCAACTGGACACTTTTGGAACATTTTTCCGTACAGATTTCATAATTTTTAACATGGAGACCAAAAAATATGACACAGTTCAGCTAGGTTCTTCCACTAACAAACTAGTTTGTTCATTTCTGATTTTATTGACACTTATATCTGAGGCTCGACAAGGAGGGTATCAAAATTACCTAAATTGTCTACACTACAGTACCATGTGTCCGGACAGATATGTACATGACGTGATTTAATTCAGATAAAAGCTTGGGTGTTTTGATTTTTGATTTTTAACATGATATACAATATGTCAGCAACAAATGGTAAAGTTTTGTTTATTCTATTATTCACTCTGCAAATGATTATAGCTTATATATGAGGTCAGGCATTGCTTTCTTAACCCCCAAATTTCAACATCAACATTCTTGAAATAGACATTAGAATATCACCATTTACGGAGGTTGAAATGAATTTATTTACTTAATTTTACAATAAACATGCACTTATTGTTGATAAAGAAGTGACTGACAACCACTGAACAAAGGAAATTCTAAATTAAGCATTTTCAGGGCCGTCTTGGTTTGGTGGTTGTCCTGTTTGTGGTGGTCCCCAACCAGTATGGATACTTAAAAGAAATGTGCATGTCAAATTCAAATTTGGTCATAGTTCAATGATTTTGGCAGAGTTATGCCCCTTTGACTTTGAAAAAAAAAGAAATGCACAGTTTCTGTTCATGATCTCACAAACAATTGTACACAAGCAACTCAAACTTAACATATAGATACATCTTAGGAATAAGCAGGTAAAGTTTGAATTTAGTCTTGGTTTCATGATTTTGGACAAAGTTATCTTTCTTGAACATTGAAAAAAATTTGAAATTTTCATTTTCCACATTCTCACTTTCGTGGAAATTCATGTATAAATGTGCAATATGCAATTTGCTAAAGGTTAGCTCTGAATAGTTTCATGGCCTTGAACTTTGTATAAAAATGCTTTGTGTTAACAAAGAATAGATAAAGCACATAAAAAAAGTAGTTTGTGCAAACAAATTTGGAACTAAGTATTATTATAACTTCTGCAATTCTGGCTGCTAGCGTGGGCATCCCTAAATAATGACACATTTCTAATTTAAAATTGAAATGCATTTCTAAAAGGCAGGTACTTTTGTATTTATTTAGTTATGCCTCTTTTTGATTGAATTTTTTGTTAACTTTTTTTTAATAAGGTACTTTTCTCAAAAGAATCAAAGATATTCCCTTTAAACTTGGAGTATTTTTTTGAAATGTAATTTGTAGGGGGAAGATAATCCTGAAAGTCTGTTTTAAGTTATTATTTCCCTTTGTTAACTTAGAATTTTTTACTATTTCTCAAAAACTGTTGAATGTGTTATCTTCAAATTTAAAGTATTTGTAGCCTATTAAGGGCATGTAAGTCTGATAAGCATACTTTCAGAGTTATGCCCTCTTTTCTTTGACCATTCAGAAAAGAGAAAAAGTTATGTGCCATCCAGACAGCCAATTCCAATTTTTCAAAGTCAGTATCACAGGGTAATTAAGAGTATATGAGTTGGCGGTAGGGAATGACAGAATCTTGTCATTTTACAATTGATCTTAAATGCTAGGGTTTAAATTAAGAAGAAAAGTTCTTTTTACAAGCAAATTGGAAGGATCATCTATAAACCTTATGATAGTTCTTTTAACAAGCAACTTGGAAGTATCATGATACTATAGACCTCATGTAACTGTTATTAGATGCTAACCCTCCGTAATCTACCCCAACAATAAACTTTCTTTGATAAATTTAAGAACATGATTTAAAGACACACCTTGATTTACATTCATCTGACATTATTACAGGCATTTTACCAGCTACACGCCCTGATTTACATTCATCTGACATTATTACATGCATTTTACCAGCTACACGCCCTGATTTACATTCATCTGACATTATTACATGCATTTTACCAGCTACACGCCCTGATTTACATTCATCTGACATTATTACAGGCATTTTACCAGCTACACGCCCTGATTTACATTCATCTGACATTATTACAGGCATTTTACCAGCTACACGCCTTGATTTACATTCATCTGACATTATTACAGGCATTTTACCAGCTACACGCCTTGATTTACATTCATCTGACATTATTACAGGCATTTTTCCAGCTTAACACACCTTGATTTACATTCATCTGACATTATTACAGGCAATTTACCAGCTTCACGCCCTGATTTACATTCATCTGACATTATTACAGGCATTTTACCAGCTACATGCCCTGATTTACATTCATCTGACATTATTACAGGCATTTTACCAGCTAATCAAGACTCTCATGACTTTGTTTTGAAGAACAGAACAGAACAGTACAACAATCTACGTCATGCCTTGGATGTGATGAGAAAAGTGAACAATACAACACCTAATTCTGTCATCTTCTTGAAGATGTTCTTAATTGAAGAAGGGCTTCTGCCTTTTCAGGATAGTGACCTTGTAATACATTCTTTTTTAACTCGACTATTCGATAAGAATAAGTAGAGCTATTGCAGTCACCCGAGCGTCGGCGTCAGTGTCGGCGTCCGCGTCGGCGTAACCACTTATGTTAAAGTTTTTGTAATAGTTCAAATTTTTTCAAAGTCAATTGACATATGGCTTTGAAACTTTGCACACTTGTTCACCATCATGACCCCAACCTGTAAACAGGAGGAGGTAACTCTATCAAGCATTTTGACAGAATTATGCCCCTTTTTCGACTTAGAATTTATGTTAAAAGTTTTGTAATAGTTCAAATATTTTCAAAGTCCATTGCTAATGGCCTTGAAACTTTGCACACTTGTTCACCATCATTATCCCAACCTGTAAACAGGAGGAGGTAACTGTATCAAGCATTTGTTTTTACTATCAAGCGCTAAGAATAGTCGAGCGTTGCTGTCCTACCGACAGCTCTTGTTAATCTCATTAAGTATTGTTTGTTTGACTTACTTAAATGTTTTGATGAACAAAAGATTTGCAATGCTTTGTAAAATATATTACACCATGTTTATATGCCCGTTTCAATAATAGGTTGTATTATAGTTTCACCCTGGATGGGCAAGCGGGCATGGTCCAATTTTGTCCGGAGCATTCTCCTACACACATGGAGGAATTTTAATGAAACTTCATAAAAATGTTCAGGACTCTGAGAAGCTGTGTCATATGCATAAAATAGTTCTCTAGGTCAAAGATCAAGGTCACACTTCATTGGAATACAAAAATTTCTACATGCATAGAGGGATTTCAATATAACTTGGCACAAATGTTCACCATTGTGAGGCGCAGTGTTGCATGCAAAATTTAGGTCCCTGTGGCCAAGGTCAAGGTATTTGGACTATTTAGTCATCATTTATTGAGGCATTGAAACACAAATGGTCATTATCATGACGAGGGATGTGAAACATTTAATTAGGTTGATCTAATAGACTATTCAAGGTCTTTAAAGATGATGAAAATATGATTTTGTCCAGTGCATATCTCTTACATGCAAGGTAGGATTCTAATGAAACTTCATAGAAATGTTCACATGTATTAGAAGCTAATAATGTCAGGTGCAATACCAGGTCTGTAGGTCAAAAATCAAGGTCACATTAAGAGGTCATTGAAAAATGCTTGTCGGGAATAAGTTTCTACATGCATAGAGAGATTTCAATATAACTAGGCACTAATGTACACCATTGCAGAGTGTTGCATGTAAAATTTAGGTCCCAGCAGCAAAGCTGTAGGTCACACATAGGGGTTGGGGTTAAAGTTCAGATAAAAATATGAATGTGTATTGAGACCATTTAGTCATATCATTTATTGAGAAATTGAAAAAGGAATGGTCATTATTATGACTTTGTGTGAAACTTTAATTTAAGTTCCTCTTCACTGCACAAAATGGCTGCAAGAGCTAAAATTGAAAAATCTTGTCTGCCCTTCACAGGTAATACTAATGGTGGGATTTCAACCAAACTTTTCAGGAGTTACCAGTACCATGTCTTGTTGTGCATCAGGCACATTCCCATTGTTCACATCACTGGCATGTTTCGCTTCGCTGCATCAATGGCCCCTAGAGCTAAAAATAGAAAAATCTTGTCCACCTTTCATAAGTCAACTACTGGTGGCATTTCAACCAAACTTTACAGGAGTGAGCAGTACCATCTCTAGTTGTGCACAACACTGGCATGTTCTGCTTGGCTGCACAGAATGGCCAACAGAGCTAAAAATATAAAATTCTTGTCCAGCCTTCACAGGTCAAACTACTGGTGGGATTTCAATCAAACTTTAAGGAGTGATCAGTAACATCCCTAGTTGTGCACATCACCGGCACATTCCGCTTTGGGTGACCATAAAATCGCCACTTTGTCTGTCTGTCCATCCGCACTACCGAATAAAATATAGGGGGGGGGGGGGGCATTTGACTGTTAACAGAACAAAAGAAACCAATGGAATTCATTCTGTAACAATAGAATAAGGGGTCATGACCCTCTATTAAACAAAAGAAAATAATAATATAAATGGCCCTTTATCCCAATTTGATCGTATGTGTGTCTGTCTGTCCGCTATTCTTGGCCGGGACATAACTTTGAAACAACTAAAGGTATCATCATGAAACTTTGTAGGAAGATAGATCTCATTCAGTAGATGTGCAATGCACAAGAACCGTAACTCTGCCTTGCCTAATTTTGGAATTATTGCCCTTTGTTTATTTTTCACTTTAAACTAACTCTAAATTATAAGAAATGTCAACATGAAACTTTGTAGGTAGATAGATCTCATTAAGTAGAAGTGCATTGCAAAAGAACCATACTCTGTGTTGCCTCTTTTTTGAGTTATTGTCGTTTGTTTATTTTTACACTGTGAACTTTATCTGGGACATAACTCTAAAATTATAAGAGATATCAACATGAAACTTTGTAGGTAGATAGATCTCATTGGGTGGAAGTGAAGTGCTAAAGAACCATAACTCTTTCTTGCCCTCTTCAGTTATTGCCCTTTGTTTATATATACACTTTGAACTTGAACCAAAAAAAGGTCAAAATGTGGGAAAATAGTCTCTACTGCGTTAATAACGCAGTAGATTTAATATTCTGAATCTTTTTACTTTTCTTAAAGTCTTAGTATATATTATTCAAGTTTCATTTTCTTGATATATTTTGGCTCATCTGGAGGCATGCTGCTTTAAATGACCTTGACCATCAAATGATTAAATTTTTATCATATTTTCTTAACTTTGTCATTTATTTATAAATAATAAGTGTGACTAGACAGCACTCTTAAATCAAAAAAGGAAAAACTTAATTTTTTGTTTCTTTCATTTTCTTTTTAAAGATTTGTTTAAGGTGTTTATTTGTTTGCTTTTAGAAAAAGTAAAAATGTTGAGTGTTAATTGTCCACGCCTGATATGGTGGCTCTAATTTCTAGAGATTTTTATTATGATAACAAATTATACTTAGAGTTTGGTGAAAGACAAGTAATGTGTAGCTGAACAAAATAAGTAATGTTATATGATTCTAGGCTTTAAGTGAATTAATGCCATTGCATTCCAAATCTTCTTTACAAAGACTAAATAGTTAGTTTTATTCATATACTCAAAATTTAAAGCCATTTCAGTTTTGGTTATTTTCTTACCATATTTTTAGTTATCCAACCGAGCATATGAGGCATATGTTCACATAGCAAAGGCTATCTCTGGTATGGCAGAAAATCAAGTAGATGCATACTGGATAACAAATGGATTTTACAGACACTTCTGTAAACACTACCAAGATTGTATTCCATTACTGGTAAGATTGATATAAATGACTTTACACTGTTTGCTATAATGACAGTTTAAAGATCCATGTTTAGAAATAATGTACAGTAATTGAACAAAAATATCAATGCTGTCCAAGGTGAAAATGATTCATTTTATTGGAACCATAATTTAAATTATGAAAAAAGCAATTTGTGCAATATTTATGCCACCGCAGCATCTGCAATGCAGTGACATATAGCGATTCACCTCTGTGTATGATGTACATATGTTTACATGTATGTGTGTTATATAGAGTATATAGTGAATTTAAAAATCTTCTTGTGAAAAACAGCTAGTCCTATTTTTAACCAAACTTGGCAGAATTGATCCTTGGGTGAAGGGCTTCCAAAGGTTTTCCCATGCAGAAATCTGGTTACCATGGCAACCAAATGGCAAAAGGGATTTGAAGAATAATTATTGGCCCACCCTGGGGGTCATTGATTTCACTATGTACATATATTTTCATTTGTACATACAGTAAAAACAGAAACTAAAACAAATGTTTCTGAATAGGAGAAAGCTACAGCTTAGATATTTTGGCATAAAGCATTGTTTGGTGGACCTGTATTAAGATAGTTTGAATTAAACCCTTGGGTCAAAATTGTGCCCAAGGGGACACAGTGACCTTATTTCTTGTCCTTTGATGTACAGCCATCATATTTAGACCATGTGGACAGTTTGAGATGTAAAATTAAACTTTAATATAAGCTGACCTAGATTCTAATGATGTATCAGACTTTCTTGTCCTTTGATGTACAGCTATGAAATTTGGACCATGTGCACGGTTTGAGATGTAAATTAAACTTTGATATCAGCTGACCTAGCTTTTGATAAAGTGACTTACTGTCTTGTCTTTTGATGTACAGTCATGAAATTTAGGCCATATGAAATATGACCATGACTGCCAGATTCACTAGACTCAACTGCATTATGACAAATTTCAATTGTATAGAAACAAAAACAAAAAATCTTCTGTTCCTAGACTACTATTCATGATGTATTAATGCGGTGGCATATCATTTTTAGCTTGACTATTCGATAAGAATAAGTAGAGCTATTGTAGTCACCCGAGCGTCGGCGTCAGTGTCGGCGTAACCACTTATGTTAAAGTTTTTGTAATACCTAAAATATTTTCAAAGTCCATTCACATATAGCTTTGAAACTTTGCCACTTGTTCACCATCATGACCCCAACCTGTAGACAGGAGGTGGTAACTGTATCAAGCATTTTGACAGAATTATGCCCCTTTTTCGACTTAGTATTTACGTTAAAGTGCGGAGGAAGGTAGTCTAGTACTGGTGTAACTCTCCAGGAACAATGGTTAGGAAACTACCCGCCTATTTGACTGAAATACTGTTGGGAAAAGGCGTAAAATGAAACAAACAAACAAAACAAACGTTAAAGTTTTTGTTTGTAATACCTCACATATTTTCAAAGTCCATTGACATATGGCTTTGAAACTTTTCACACTTTTTCACCATCATGACCCCAACCTGTAGACAGGAGGAGGTAACTGTATCAAGCATTTTGACAGAATTATGGCCACTTTTTAGCTCGACTATTCGATAAGAATAAGTAGAGCTATTGCAGTCACCCGAGCGTCGGCGTCTGCGTCGGCGTAACCACTTATGTTAAAGTTTTTGTAATAGTTCAAATATTTTAAAAGTCCATTGACATATGGCTTTGAAACTTTGCACACTTGTTCACCATCATGACCCCAACCTGTAGACAGGAGGAGGTAACTCTATCAAGCATTTTGACAGAATTATGCCCCTTTTGCGACTTAGAATTTATGTTAAAGTTTTTGTAATAGTTCAAATATTTTCAAAGTCCATTGACATATGGCGGGAGGTAACTCTATCAACCATTTTGACAGAATTATGCCCCTTTTTCGACTTAGAATTTATGTTAAAGTTTTTGTAATCCCGGGTGTAAAAAGTCCATGCTTTTCCAGGGATTTCCATGGAAAATAAGAGGCTGGAGTATTGGAACAAAATTTTCCAGCCTTTTCCAGCCTGAAGCTGAGAAAAATTGGGCTGGAAAAACAGGGAAAAAACATGGAACATTTTCCATGCTGCATGGAATATTTTCCATGTTTTCCATGGAAAAGCATGGAATTTATTCCATGCTTTTCCATGTACATGGAGTATTGGAACAAAAGTATGGATTTTTTTCCAGGGTATTCCATGTGTCTGCCAACCATAGAGGCTGGACTTTTTACCATGGAAAATAGTCCAGCCTTGATGGAATAACATGGAAAAAAATCCAGCCTAATTCCAGCATCCCTGAATGTTCTTAAAATGTAAAATTCTCTGACGGAATTCAGCACAGGAATGTTTGGGGTGGAATTTTTATTAGTTTAACATGATCACATATTTCTTTCACAAAATTTAATACATATCCTTTAGTCCAAATACAGAATAGAACAGAATGTGTTTCCTAGAACTTCTTGTGGTTGTGCTCACCTTTAAAGATAAAATTCATAATAAATTTAACACAGATGTGGTAATGACTTATGTTGTAATGCATATAAATATTAGGCAGTTATATTTCGTATCTTTTGATAACATCAAATCTTAAATGTTTCAACAGTATTAACTATTAAATATTAACTATGCTTATGCATATTCAAAAATACTAAAACAATGCAGCATATCTTATTTCAAAGTGCACAAGTGTTTAAGAATTTCTCTGTACATGTATAAGAATTAAGTAAATTTGTGACAAAATTTATCACCCAGTATGTATTTTTTCAAGAAAAGACATGGAATAAAAAAGTATTGAGATTTAAAAATATACCTTTTCAGGATTAATACTGCACATCATTATTAAACACTGTTGGTAATTCTCACAGTCAGCACTTTATGTCCCAGCCTGCAAGTTATGTAATTGTATATTTAGATTGTTCCATTGAAAACACAACACATACATGTAAAATTACAAATGATTATGATGACCCTGTTCAGTTGTACAAAACTATTGATTGTACCATTTAGTCCTATTTAATCAAATTGATTTAATTTGTTTTATTTGTAGGAAATGAAAAAGATCTGTACTAACAAATGTCTTTTTAACAATATACATTATAAAAAAATCATTGAGTAATTTATATTTTACAGATTATACATATAATAATTATAGATTAAAAACAATTATCAGAAAAACAAATGCATGAAGTTGAAAATATAAAATCAACCTTGATCTTTTGTTACAAATGTTGATAGTTTGATATATACTGTATGTGTAGAAATATTCGCGGGCTTCAAATTTTCGCGATCTTCGCGGTGACATTCGATCCGCGAATTCATGTTTAGCGCGAATATTTCTACACCAATAATTTCTTAATAGTCATATTTTCGCGCTTCTATAGAATAATGTATATCAGTGTGTGATATGCTTTCACATTTTTCATTTAAATCTTTATGAGTAATTGTGTTTTGTTTTCCAAGTTATTCATTATTTAAAATCGTTTATGTTTGTGTTTTTAATTGTTTGGTCAGAAAAACCAAAACATGATCTGGTCAGATGTCAAGACGTTTATGACGCAAACTGTGAAAAATTATGCACGTTAACGGGCATTCTTTTGTTTGCTATAATCTGTCCGTTAGACAATGTCTTTGTTTCTATACAATAGAGTATTGTTTGACACCTGGTATTGAAAATAATCGGAACTCCCACGATGATAACAGTTATTTTCCTTTTTTTAACCTGAGTGGTCTACGCGAATTTATGATTTTCGGTTGTCAACTCCGCGAATTCAAAATAGCGCGAATATTTGTATAGACCCCCAAAGTGGACCTTTCCGCGAAAATTTGCTTCCGCGAATTTAAATACACATACAGTAACCTGTTTCTGCATTGTTGTAACTTAAGGTTTATAAATACCTGATTCTGTTGTATATCTCTTTGTCCCAGGTGATTCTGATTGTTATCATACCAATACTTAAACACTTTAAAGTCTTAAAAAACAATATCTCCAAAACTGCTAAAATATCAAGTACATCCTCTGTAAATTTGCACTCCTTGCTGACCCAGATATCTTAGAATTCAAAATTTACAACAGTTACTGGACAGGTCTATCATTATGTAAAGCAGGGTTTAAATCTACTCATCATTTTAACTTTTATTCTTTGAGCATAAAAGAAAATATCAAATAGCTAATAGATATAGATTTTAAATATCATTACAAATTTTTGTACAAAAAAGATTGCAATGTCCTTCTAGACACATTCTGCATATGAAATTTATAATGTTATCTCTCCCCAAAATAATCACATGGAACAGCCTGATCTGTTGGAATGACCAGTGGAGTAAATTAGTCATGCCCAGATGGTGAGAAAATGCTGGTCAATGAGTTTTATCAGAGCTCTGATCTGTGTAGCGTAAAATCTCAGTGGTTGTAGTATTTATTTTTCCTAAATATTGATCAATTTAATATAGAATATATATGAGATTCTTTGTTTTGTTTATTTATTTATTCATTGTTATCCAAAAACATGAATTCTTAGAATTTGAAAATGGCAAGCAATGCAATCCCATCTTGATTATTATAGTGTCTGAATGATTTAATCACAGACTTTAATTAATTTATAGTTCAAACTTATAGCCTGTAATTAAATGGATATTATTTCATTGTACATAACTTCATGTAGATTTATTTAAATAATAATATGTATTTTGAACAATCAATTCATTTATGTCTTTAGCATAGACATTTTTTTCTGAGATACCCTTTTTCAACTACATAAAAAGTATAAACTGTCAAATTTCAAATCATTTACAGTAACTTGCATTAAAATAAATGATGATTGTATATTTTCTTCGTAAATTCACAATATTGTGCTGAATATATAAAGTAAGATTTCTTGTTGTAATTTTTACAAGTTTTTTCCAGCATACTTAGAGAAAATTTAACACATTTCCAGCATCAAAAAAATCTAAGTTCCACTTTCCATGCTACATGGAAGTAAAGTCCATGGTTTTCCAGGCT